ATTAATTATTTATTTCGATTCAGTAAATTATTATTTCTTGAAATGTAAATTTTGCAATATTTTCGAAAATAATTAGAATATTTTGATTTTGAATTTATTAAGAAAATAAACATTTTGATGAGTAAAGTTTAGTATACTTGATGAAGAAAATGGAAATTCTAGTAACACTCGTCCTAGATTATAATAATGCAAGTCGCATTATTTACATGCCTAGTATATAGTACAACTGTTTCAGGCAGTTGAAGTGTTCATTATTCAAATTGAATGGATCCTCTTAAATGTCCCTTTGACAATCACATAACTCAACTCACAACTTTACACCCTGAGTAGCAAATTTAAAATTTTATTTGAAGCAAAATTTCTGCTCCATTTGTTTTAGCCCCAGAGGGAAAATATTATTTTCTTTATGAATTCCATGCATTCATATATAAAGAATAATTTAAAGTTAATTGAAATTTTTAAATTAAAATAACATTCTTTTTTTTTTAACTAAAATCGAAAAAATTTCAGAAAAGAGAATTATTATTTTTTCACATAAAAATATAAGTTTAATTTTAAATTAAAGTAGTTTATGAATAAAATTGGTATAATTTAATACGTATAAAGCAATTAGTGAGATTTTTAAGATTTACTAATGTTTATAGAGAATTTGATGTAAAAGAGAGATTTTTGTCGAGAGAAAATTGTCTGCGAAAAAAGGAAAAGGATATAGAAAGGAAAATATATTGTGTTCTCCGGAGCGTGAAATCGCCGTAAATTATCTTTTCTTTTTCGTGTTTTTGGTCGGGGTGTCAAATAAAGGGAATTAGCTACATTAGGAAAGGACAGTTTATATATATAGAGAGAGAGAGAGGAGAGACAAAAGGGCGGAAATGAGAGCCACTGGCTTAAAACAGCACTGCGTTCCAGATCGATAACCAACGCTACCCTTAAACTCGGAAATGTGGATTGATATCAGGGCAAAACTAAAACGTCTTAAATTTTATTCCTATGTTAAGAGAGGAAATCTCGCGTTTTCTTATTTATATAAAGCTTCTTTGACATTTGATATTTTACCTGACAATAATTTTACTCTCTCGCAATAAAGGTCAAAGAGCATTTTATATATATTTCAAATTCTTGGTTTAATAAAACTTTTTCCATTTGCTGTATAATATCAATGAAATTTAATTACAAAAATATAATTATATAAAAAAATTTTATATAATTTTGGAGAAAATTAGAAGCTTCTTTTTTTATATATACAAAAATTGTTTTTTCTAATAAATGAAATAGATTTTTTTTTTTTTCTCCTAAAAATTGAAAGCTGACCGTTATTTTATGGATTTCTAAAATCAAGATTTCATTTTACCTCTCGTCTCTCGATATACCGCATAGATTTCTTAAATCCCAAGTCAGTCGCATTTGCAATTTACTCAGAGACTTCTATTGGTTTCTTTTTACATTGAGAAGCTTGCATTCAAAGAATATCTTTCATGAATTCACATCCATCTAAAAAAAAAATTCTTCACAGATCGATGAAACCCCATTGGTAAAGTTATCCCGATAAATCTCACAATTTATGAAAAGAGCTTTCGCATTTCGCTTGCGATACGACAAAACTGTATAAAGAATTCTTTTCTTTCGCGCATATTGAAAATTCTAAAATTAGTATTGCAAATTTTTTCCTTATTTTTTTTTTCTATTATCAATGGTTATTATTAAAGGTAATACCATTATTCCTAAATAATTTATTTATGAAATTTTTTTGTTAATTAAAAACTTTTGTTTCGAGTGAGTTTTTTTTATTTTTTTTTTGAAAAATTTGTTTTTTTTAGGGTTGACTGGTTCTGTAACTCATTTAGATTAAGTGTAATTAAAATTTATGGGATTATATTCCGCTATGCTTAGTTTTGGTACATTCAGTAGTAAAAGTGCGCTTACGTCAGACAAGAAAATTGAACGAGGACATGTAAAATCAGTTAGCATTTTCTGCTTTTAGTAAATTTAGTTTGTTTAATTTTTAATATACATATTATTAAATAATAATATATTTATTTAATCGAAATTGTTTTTCTTCTTAAGCAAATAAAATTAATTTTTCTTAAAAATTATTCATATTTGATGTTAATTTTTCTATTATTATTTGTTTTAAAAATTTTCTTCATTAGACGAAATTCGTTGCAGATAAATGTTAAGTCACTTTCGAAGTGAAAAATAATTTATGAAATCCTCAAACTCCTCGTATTTGTATCAAACTGAAAGAGTATAGTCCTTCCAAAGGATCTACTTTCCCCAAAAAGTCTTTGATTGCATGTGAGGGACTTTTCCTCAACAGAGGTGTGTTTGCCATCCTCTTATTTAGAGATGGCTCCCCTTTTTGGGGTTTAAGCGAGGGTGTTGAGGTTGCAAACTGTCGAGGAGTAAAATTCTATAGTGAAAGAGATCCATTGCATAGAAAGAGGGTGAAAAATAAGGTGTCTGTGTAATCGAAAATATTAAACTGACAACTCTAATAAAGAATTTCACTTTTCGTTTTATATGAAAACTGTATATATGAAAATTTTTATAACGAAAAAGAAAAAACATTCTATTTCAAAAAAAAAAAAAAAAATTATTTCGTTGACTTCAATTTTCAATTTACACTGAATTTATTTTATTTTATTCAAATAGGTTATTATTATATCAAATAAATATTTACTTGAAAGACATAATTATTAGTTGGGTCAATTAAATGGTATTTGTTACAAAATAGAGAAATTATTGGTTTTCAAATTTCAATATTTAATATTTAATATTCTAGCTAAAATAAATAAATTGCAATGTTTTGATCGATTTCTTGCAGTACAAGGAAATAATTAGAACAAATGACTTTGAAAAAAAATATATATATAGTGAAAAATGTTTTTTTTCGGAAAAATAATATATCATTTCCAGATGAAAATTTTCTAATATAGACTGTCAATTTCAAGATTCGAGTACCCAGTTCATTTATTTCTCGAAACCATATATATATTGAACAAGGAACCCTCGCCTGCATCCTGTTTGATAGTAGAGGGAGATTATCTGTAAAACATACTTTCCTATATATCTATATACAACTATCTAAAAGTGCGATAACCCAACGAGACATTCACTCCGCCCTTTGAAAATTGCCTTGAGAGAAAATTGATGGTTGCTCTAGGTATTGCAAATCACATTTCGTTTAGGGAAACCTTTCTTTAATCTGGACCAAATTCACCTCTCCAGATTAAAATTAAAAAAAAAAAATTAAAAATGCCGAAATATTAGAAAAAAATTAATATACAATTTTAAATACAGGCAAAAATATTTAAGATTACTGAAAAAAAATACTTTTAGAAATTATTATTAATAAATTTTTATTTATTAATACTAATTTCAAGTTTAATTTCATTTAATTCTTTTATGCTTTTATAATTAGATGTAGTAAACTCTTAACTGTATCTCAATTTTTTACTTTTGTTTCCATTTAAGAACTTTAATACAACTTAAACTGAATGAAATTCAAGAAATGAGCTTTTACAGAGATTTTCATAAAATAATAATTCGAGGCTCAAATTTTCTTTTAAGGATGAAAAAAAGAAATAAGCGTGAAATTAGTCTGGCGCCTGCAAACTTACGATACAAGTTATACACAGAGTTTCACGGCTCCTAGTACTTGTCTCGAAATATATATATATATAAGCAATGCCAAACGCTGTATATATATATATATATATATATATATATATATATATATATATATATATATATATATATATATACGTAGGTTGCAAACAGTCTGATTAAGTTCTGTGCACGACGTCGTAAAAAACCCTATTGGAGATTGAATTTCTAAAAGAAACTGGTCAAACGCGCAAATCGTGCTTGAAAAATAAATAAAAGATAAAGAATTCTGTTTCTCACTCTAATTCGCTTTGAGAATACATCTGCTGTGAAAAAAAATGTTGGAACTATTCCAATAAAAATAATACTCCTAATATATTATATTTTTACTAAAAATAATTGTTTCTTTCAGAGAAATGAAAATATCAAAGATTTTCTCATATTTATATCGAAGAAAATTCTCGAAATGTTTTTAGGAAATGAATAGTGATTTTATTATTGATTTTTGGTTTCAGTGGTAAAAATATTCAGAAATATTTTTAATTCTTATATTCTTTTCAACATATAATCTCTAAATCTGAATTAGTGAAAAGTGAGCTACTAATTTAAATTAGTAAAAATTTTCACTAATTTTTAGTCACTTTTTACTAAAATTTTAGTCATTAAATTTTAAACTACTAAATCAAATAGTAATATATTTTACTAAAAATTAGTAAATATTGTCACTAATGTAAATTAGTAGCTTAATTTTTACTAATTCAAATTTAAAGAGTAGTAAATTACAGTCATTCGAAATCAGTAGAAAAAGACCGTTTTAGTCAGACAAAATGATTTAAACTATTGTAATACAAAAATCAGTAGTAAATTAACGTTGCAGTCAGACAAAACGGTTAGATTGGAATTTTTGTATCAGTAGTCAAAGTCAGCTATGGGCAGTTTAGTAGTAAAACTCCGTTTTAGTCAGACAAAATTATTTACACTCGTAGAACTAGAATCAGTAGTACAAAACCGCTTTAGTCAGGCAGAATTATTTAAATTGTTCTAATAGTAAAATCAGTAGTAGAAGAACGTTTAAATCAGACAAAAAGTTATTATTACCATTAGTAAAAATTTTTAATTATATATACGATTCGAAGAAGATAATAATTTCTTTAAATTATTTATTTACGAAAAAGAAAATTTAATAATCAGGAAATATTTAGCTATATAAATTTGTATAATTTCTGACAGAGTCTAGTGAAATAAACTTTTCACATTCTCCCCAAGGGATTTATAAATATTTTTTCAAAAAAAAGCATAAATCAATTATTTTATAATTTGAAAAAGATTCAGTTCTGGTGTTATTTTTTCATAGTTATATATATATATTATGTAACTTATATACGAGCGCTTACCTCACTTTTGTGACCTCTGAGATTATGATTCGTTCTGAGGGGAAGTTCTGGTGTTTTCATGCTACAAACCGAGGATGTAAATGTTACTCCGACCAATCCTCGGGCATTACCCGTAGCCAGCCATCCATCTTGAAAATAACTAGGCCGATTCAGCTTCCATCCTTCGTCCTGTTTAAACAAAAAAATAAATAATAATTTCATTAACTCACACATTTTCGTTCAAAATATCACTATAGGGAAATTTGTTTGTCTCATAACTTTTTAATTAATATTACCAAAATTTTTGTTCAATTAAAAAAAAGTTTATCACTCACGGAAAAAAAAGATTTACATGAAACACCGAAAGATTTTATTAGAATAGCAAAAATTTTAATTGTTTTAGATAAATCTTTCACTATTCTAGTGAAACCTTTCGCTTCAAATGAAATTTTTTTTCTGTTCTGAAAAAATTATATTAATAAATATTCATATTTAATTTTAATTAATTTTAATTTAATTTAAACTTTTCTCAATTTGAAATTATATATTTATATAAAATCAGTTTTGAATGAAAGATCATTATAGACTTACTAACTTTATTAAAGTTTGACAAATTTATATTTCTCAATATATATTATATATGAATCTTTATATAAACATAATACCTACTTGTACAAGATTATTTTCTTAATAGAGTTATTACAAAGATGCAACATATTTCTTGTATATATTATAAGATATAATGTTGTAATTTCATTTGTGAAAAGAACTTTAATCTTTAAAGCCAACTTCAATTCTAGGCGTACTTTTATAAGGATTCTCGAGCACTAGAAATGTATATTATATATAATAATAATAATAATAATAATAATAATTTATGTAGAATTATTATAAAAAGAAAGAGGGATAAAGACCTTTTGTCCATTTAGAATTTAAATTCTCTGAATAATTTTACAAAAAAAAATCGAGTTATAAAATTTACATATATAACATTTCTTTGTGTATATATATATTATTTAAATTGAAAAAAAATATCTACAATTTTCTCAAATTTAAACGAAAGATCAAATTTCTTCAGATTGGTAACTTAATTCTGCAGAAAAAAAATATTCATTAATCACTAGTTAACCTTTTTTCATTAAAAGTCCAACCCCAATTTAGTTTCCCTTCGCACTAATTATCTTCAATTTTTTCCCTATATATATATATATATTCTCTAAACAACAGAGAAAAATAACGGTTCGTCACACCTTTGTTGATAAATGATTGCACTTATATAATTGATAGTTAAACTGAAAAAAAAGTAAATTAAAAAAAAAAGAAACATTGAGATAATGTTTTATGAAATGCGCGAATTTAATTACAATGAACACGAGATTAAACTAGTGTCTTTTTATGGCTTGCATAATTCTAAAATGAAAATAAAAAAATCATGACTTGCGAATGACGACTTTGGCCTTCATAATATATAGAAGGATATGAGCTGACAATATTTTATGTAAAAACTGTATATATACATATAATCTTGACACCTATTCCAATGAATTCCATAACATATAGCGAATATATCGTGCGTGGATAAAATGAAAAATTTCTTTTATTTTTTTCCACTTTTAATAACAAAAGCTCATTTGACGATTTTTTTTTTATAATTTACTTGAATAAAGTTTTTATATTTCTAAAAATATACACTGAAAAAAAATTTATTTGATTCAAATAATCGGTTACTGTTATCAAATAAATATTTTCTTGAACCAAATAATTTTTTTAAATTAAATAAACTGTATTTGAATCAGTAGTTTCTGTATTTGAAACAAATACCATCTCAAATAATAATTATGTGATAAATAAATATTTATTTTATAATAATCAAGTAATCGGATTATTTGAATCAAATAAATTTTTTTTCAGTGTATTTGTAGACATTTTTTTATAAATAATTTTGAGGTGGGAGATTTTAAAAAAAGGTAATTTTTAAATATTTTTTGGAATTTTTGTTAGAATTACTAGTTTTTGTATAAAAAAAAAATTTAACTCTGTTTATGTGATATAAAATACACGGTTATTATTTTCTCGAGAAAAAATAATGCTGAAAAGATATGGGATAGGGAAAATGACAAACCTAAAAACAAAGCGTTTTAGTAGTTAAAGTGTTGAAAATCACCGCCACTTTAAGTGGTGAACAGAAAGAAATTCTACCTATGCTCTCTCTCTCTCTTTATATATATGTATTGAAAACTTGAAGAACAAAAGCTCTCAATAGCTTCGTCTATGAACAATACCCATTTATTTCTGTAAACTTGAAAGCAAAAAAAAAAAAAAAATTCTCAAAAAAAAAACCGAATTCTTTCAATTATTTTTCACGATTTTATTTTATTTATATTCACTGATTTGGTGAAAATAAAATTTTCATTCACTCGTGTTTTTTCTTTGTATAAAGGATTCGTTTATTTAATTAGACTCTCACAGCATCAATTAACTTATATAATATGTTTCAACAAAGCTTTGTTTTCCATCGTATTAAAGTTTCATTTTATATAAATTTTCACAAAATTTTCCTATTATAAATTATAAAAATTATATAATACGAATTACAAAAAAATATTATATAATTTAATTCTACAAAGACTTAAAAAAAAAAAAAAAATTCTGAAATTGACTTTTTTTTGAAGAAAAATGATAAATGAGTGAACGAAAGGAAATTTTCATTTTTCCAAAGATACGGAAAGATATCTTTGATAAGAAAACTTGTAAATGATGAAACTTTAAAAAAGTTGTGTAATAAATTTTTTTCTCAAGTTTGTAATAAAAGTTTTGAGCCATTGTGTCCACAAGTTGCGTATATATATATATAGAGAGAGAGAGAGAGAGTGTCATTTATAATTCGAGTGGCAGGATTATTAAAAGTTACTGGACCCCCCTTTATTTTATAACCAGACGAGTTTCTATCCTGAAAGTTTGAATATGGGAAAACATAAGCTTAAGCAAAGTCTATACTCCTGAAAAGTGCCTTGACTCGTATATGCCCCACCCCTTCAGCGAGATCTCCATATAATTACGGATATATATATATAAAACAAGGGGTCGTAAAGATACATAAAAGGATGGAAGAAGAAGAAGTTAGGAAAGACCAAGAGAGATGGAAAATAAATGAAAAAAAGAGAAAATGGCCTGAAGCTAGTGAAGTGTTTGTAACGTTAGGGTAGACCATTATACACAAAGAAGACTAAAATACAACCCTTATTATTATTATTATTCTATCGCTCTCCTACATTTGCCTAAAGCGTTTTTATTTTCATTCGTTCTTTTTTTAAATCAGGAAGTTCAATCGTATTTTAATTTGTTTTTCACAAAAAAAAAAAAAATCCTTTTCATGTTATATCCGCAGTGGAATCTAAAATATAAGCTCGATTTTTGTATATAAAATTAGGTTGTCACTTATCAAACGAATTGACATTTGAATTACAATTCCGGATAAAATATTATTGGAATATAAATATTCTTTGCACAAAGGATTTAAAATTTTTATTACTCTTATAAAATATTACTTGATTATTTATAAAACCCAAATTTTTTTTTGCCATAATTTTTCTCTAAAATATATATTATTATAGACAAAGGTATACAGTTTTAATAACATAAATTTGAATTTTTTAAAACTTTTTTCTTTATAATTGTAAAATATTCTTGTAGGTAGATAGTTTTACATTTAAAAAAAAAAATTTTTTTAATAATTTGGTCTTAAAATTAAAAAAAGTACTTAACAATTATTAACGTAGTAAATTTTTTTTAAATAATTAATTAAATTAATAAAAAAAAAATCGAAATATCCTCTCTAAATCTGAATTAGTAAAAATGTTTACTAATTTGAATTAGTGACTCACTTTTTGCTTTAGAATTAGTTAAATTTTACTAATTGTTAGTAAAAGTTACTAATAATTAGTAAAATTTTACTAATTCAGATTTAGAGAGTCGCTCTCTATTTTATTTGCAATGAGAGATGTAATTGAAGAGGATGCTTTATGATTTCGAGTAATATTATAAATGTGAAACTAATTTTTAGTTGAATAGTCGCGTTTTCAAGAATTTCAATTAGCCTTGTCAGCTGAATCGTAGAGATCGGCATTTTCAAGAGACTCATCTGCAACATGAAACAACAGGGTTCGCGAGCGCGGGGAATATGAGAGGAAATTCTTCGCGGAGAGGTATTCAATTTATCCAAGAACAATAGACCACGTTTTGCATGGTCTCGATAATAACGCTATCGATTCAAGCACACGATCCACATTTCTCTCTCTCTCTCTCTAGAACAAAAACAGAACTCGCGACGCGACACGATTTATTCAACAACATAACTTGACTGCACACATATTTTGACCGCATTTACAAATCATCTATATTCATTTACTTGCCCGTAAACTTTGTTTTATTTATTTGCAATATTTTCCGTTTATTTTTTAAAAACAGTGGAAAATTTTATTTAGCACTGGTAATGGAACATTTTTTTATTTTTTTTTTATAGTTAAAAAATGTCAGTAATTTGGTGCGTTTAAGTAGCGATTATATTCTTGAGTTTTTGACTTAAGACAAAAATTATATCTAGAACAATTTTTCACAGAAGGAAATTTTAAATATATAATAGGACAACTTGAAAGAGAAATTTTGGCTCACTTGACATCTTTTTTTGTTCTCGCTTAATAAGTGGATCTTGTCTGACACGATAACATTCTACTCATTAAAAAGGTAAATTTTACTTTTATTTTTACCTTTTTTTCCACAAAATTATAAAAATTTATTTAAATTAAATTAAAATTTTATTTTTGAAATTAATTATTTTTTTCTATTTTGTGCGCGTCACTTTTTTTGTTGTTGTAATATGACATTTTATTGTATTAAAGTGGTGAATTTTCTTTAGCCTCATATATATAAATAAGTGGATTTTGTCTGACCTTTTTCTACTTAAAATATGTCATTTTTAATATTATAAAGCATTAAATTTTTCTTCCTAAGGATTTTAATTTTTTTTTTTTTTTTTATCAAATATATAAAATTTGTTTATCGCTAGTATTTTTGAATAAAATAATAAAAAAAATATTAATACTATAAATAATTTTATTTACATACATTTTATTAATAGTAATAATAATAATTTATAAAATGTTTTGTCGTAACCCTCTGAAAGGCGCTCTTATTTATGGACTTAATCGAAATTAAATCTTTAGAGTCTTTGTCTCTAATTTGTAGTAAATAGAGCGTTAATCAGAGGATCAAAATGAGCTTTGACCAAACTAAGTCGGTGTATATATATATATATATACATGATTCAAAGACAAAGCTCACATAACTGTACAGGGGAATCTCTTCTGATTATTGCACACCATCCGGTATATCACACAATATGCCTCTTGGCACCCCCAGCTAATGTTCTATTTATTCTATACGCATTCCCCAGTTTACAAAGGGTCAAATCAGCCTGAAATTTGGCTATTTCTACTAATTCAAGCTGCTTCATATTCACGTCCATTATTATTTACTTCTCTCAAATTTATACCTACAGCATAAAAAATATTTATCTCAGAGCTAAATAAATTTTTGATTTATATAAAAATTTTATTTATGACAAAATAAAATTTTTATTTACGCCAAATAGGATATTATAGGCTTTGAGTTTATTTAATTCAAATATATTATATTTGGTTCAATAAAACATGTATTCTTGTATATATTTTTTTGAAAATATCAAATCAGAGTAATATTTGAATTGAAATAAAATATTAGATTAGTTTGCAATTGTTTGAGGAATTTTCCATTTAAATATACTTATGTGAAGCAATTGAAAAATCTGGAACGAAATGACAAAATAAGATAAAACAGCACGAGATAGAAAAAAAAGGGAAAAAGATATAGAAAAAAAAAAAAAAAATTGTGCGGAGAATGGCAAGCAGTTAACTACAGCAATCGAATTGTGCCTTCGTCGATAAAGCGCTGGAATAATGAAATTTCACCACTTAAATCAATTATCCACTCTGCGAACGAGCGACTTAATTGACTCACTCGGATTCTCCTTGTTACACATATTATAGTCAGTCAAAATCTGAATAGTGAAATTTAATTTTTTATTCCAAGTGACATTTTGAAATCTATATCAATAGATGGCAAATTACATATTTTGGTTTAATAAGAAAGTTTCTTGAAATCAAAGAAAAGATTCGTCTATGTCAAAAAGATTTAATATAAATTTTTTTAATTTTTTCAAATCTGTGAAATATCGTGAATTATAATTAAAATAAACCGCACTTTAAAATGAATAATGAAAATTAATTTTACAATTTAATAATTTAATTAATAAGTCATATATGACATCGGAAATAGAATTGTTTTATCAGATTTGTGAGACATTTATGATTATTATAAATAACATTTTTCCACATTGTATATATAACTATATACGAAACACATTTTATGAGAGTCATTAAGAAAAAGATGATATTCTCTCGGGAAGATTTGCTCTTCGTATATATATATATATATTTCTATTTCAGAAATATATGATAACTGAAGGCAATAAAAATTTAATTTCAATTTAAAATACCCCAATAAATTTTATTAGCCCCACCAAATGTTTTACGAGACATTGAATTATTTTTGAAAAATTGAAAATTCTAATTTCTCAAAAAAAAAAATAAATAAAAAATAATTGTTTGAATTTCTTTATCAAAAATCAATATTTTTCTAATTTAATTTTAGATAAAAAAATTAAATATTTTTCGCAGGTTGAATTTCTATGAAATTTTTAGTCAAAAAAAAAAAAAAAAAAAAAAAATAAGAATAAGAATATGTGATGGAAAAATGGTGTATTAGAGAAAAATTGAAGTTTGAAGGACTAATTTGAAGAAATGCGAAGAGACAATGGTGAATTTTGAAAATATCGAATAAACTGGAAACAATGGGAGCAAGAAGCACCAAATCGAGCATTCAGTATCCACTTGAGACACTAGTCACGATCGTCATCTTGAGCCAGTGTAGTACAAAGCCCCTTTCTAAACTTTCTCTCCCTTCTCCTCTTGCCCTTATTCTATATATCCGTATATATAGTACGTTTGTACTGTGTAGTACTCTCTCTCCTTTTCCTGGCACACTCGAGAACTATATAGCAGCCTCCTGAAAACCCCTGTGAGATACCCTCCCAAAAGTTATTAACTTGGCTAAAGCCTTCACAATCCCTCTGTCCTTCCCATGGAAATGTATACCTTATCTTTCTACTCATCAGCTTAACAGGCAATTTATCTCATTGTAAAATCTATATATTTCCTCCGAAAACTAAATACAAGATGCTCTCTAATTAAATTATTATTAAACAATAATATTTCAATTTATTGTAATTAGGTGGCAAAAGTTAATGTTATAAACTTAATTACAGTTCATAAAGTTAACATATATTTAATTTAAATTTAATTTTCAAATTTAATATTAGTTTAATTTATTCCAATTCACTTAATCAGAAATTATGACTGAAATTATATTAATTAAGTAAATTAAATTAGAACTATATATATTGACCTCTCTCTTGTTTTTGTCGGTCATAATGCAATTTTCGATTCAGGAAACATATTTTTTTGAATATCACAAATTTTAAATAAAAATCTTTTCAAATATTTAAATAGAAATTTTATATCAAATCTTGTCAATATAGGACAAAACATTTATGTGCAGTTTATATTTGAATAACGAGAAGACGGTATATAATGAGACAAAAACTCAATGGGTTTTGTGTTCAATGTTCCTAGCATGCAACACTGCGAGCGATACAACTTTACATGATATGTAACTTTACTTGCATGTCAATGCAATCTGTTCGTTAGAAATAAAATCTTTTCCTAAATATATATGTATATGTTCGAAACATTTCGATAACAATAAGTGATTTGAATTTTCGAGTTAACAATTCTTTCTAACATTGATAACAAAATAATTTTTGAAATTTCGATTTTAGAGGGAAACAAAATTTTAGACATAAAGTCTGACTGAAATACTTCTTTACTATTGTCTTTAAAATTGAGATTTTATCAAGAATTTCAATTTAAATTTGTCTGACTAAAATGTAATTCTACTACTGATAGTACTGTTGCAACAGTTTAAACAATTTTGTCTGACTAAAAAGGTTTTTACTACTGATATGGAAATTTTGAAATTTTAAACTATTTCGCCTGACTATAGTCTGAATAAAATCTGAATCAGTGAAAATTTCACTGAATTCAAATCAGTGGCTCAATTTTCTTTAATTCACCAGTGAAATTTCACTGGGAATCAGTTGTTTTCCCAGTGAAATTTCACTGGTGAATTAAAGAAAACTGTGAAACTGATTTGAATTCAGTGAAATTTTCACTGATTCAGATTTTAGAGTGTAATTCGGTTTGTTTTACTACTAATATACAAATTATTAATAAAATCTTCATATTTTGTCCGACCGAACCTGACTTTAACTACTGAAACAAAAAATACAATTTAAAACGTTTTGTCTTATTGCAACGCTAAAACGAACCTTTACTATATACTGATACCAGAATTACAAGAATTTACACGTTTTGTCTATCTTAAAGTAGTTTTAACTATACTTAACAGAATTAAAATTAAAAACCTTTTTTTTATGTCACGAAAATTGCAAAACTTATGACATTAAAATTTTCTTTTACTACTTATTACAGTATTACAACAGTTTAAACAATTTTTGTCTGATCAAAAAAATCCTTTACTACTGATAAGATTTCATATTATTTTGTCTGACTAAATCATAGTTGTACCACTAATATATTTAAATACAAATATTTTGTCTAACCAAAACTTTCTTAAACTACTGATGAAAAAGTTGCAATTTAAAACGTTTTGTCTGACTAAAACTATATTTTACTACTAATTCTAGAATTATATTTTAAATCATATTTTCTGACTAAAAACGAACTTTTACTATCAACAAAAATTTCAACCTTTTTTTGTCTGACCAAAACGATCTTTTATTACTCATACTAAAATTTTAATTGTTTTGGTGACTAAAACTTACTTGTACTACTTAATGCACAAAATATTTCAATATAAATGTTTTGTCTGACCCAAACGGACTTTGACTACTGACAATAAATTACAATTTAATACGTTTTGTCCGACTAATATTAAATTTTGCTACTGTTAATATAACTACACTGGAAAAAATATATTTAATTTAAATAATCGGTTACTTGACTATTGTGAAATATTTACTTGAACCAAATAATTTTTATTTGAATTAAATAAACTGTATTTGAATAAAGTAATCTGTATTTGAACCAATAATTTTTGTATTGGAAACAAATATCACTTAATTGACTCAAATAATATTTATTTGATACAAATAAATATTTATTTGATAATAATAACCGATTATTTGAATCAAATAAATTGTTTTTTTCAGTGTACACATTAAAAAACATTAAGAATTTGACTTTTGAAAGAAATACAAAGAAAATTTATTTTAGAAATGACACAACGTAGTTTTTTTTTAAATTGACAATAAAATGTCTTTATATAAATGGCTAAGATACATATAATTGTTATAACTTAAAAATAACAGATGATGAGACTCGTTATACAAAAAGTATATTTTTAGAAAAAGGTCATGTAAGCCTTAGACAGAAGATATAAATTTGCAAAATTTTAATTAATATTTCATATATCAACTCTTATACGCAACCTTCTTGAGGCAATATATAACTTTTCGTATACTTCAAGAAATATATATATAGTCTGTCTAAAATGATAATTTACATCTTTAATAATGCATGAGTATATGATAAATTGAATTTTATAATTTTTTTCCCCCCTTTAATCCAAAGAAAAATACTAGAGTATTCGGGGATTTTGAAAAATTCCTTTTTTTTCCTGTATTATATTTCACTTGGTCCTTTTAATTAATTTCTAATTAATGTCCCAAATGTCTGGGTCCCGAATGTTAAATTGAAATACTACGCCCAAAGGAATTTATATGTCAGTGTGGATTCCAAATGGGAAGACACAGTAGACTCTCGATAATAATTAACCCTAATAAAATAACTATCAAAGGGACGCTATTAGTTATTTGAACTTTTAATGGACGTGTAAATAACTATTTTTTAATTACATATATATATAATTGAAAATTAATTCTTGATATTTTTAATCTTTCTTCAATTTGTTATTATTTTTTTCATATATTTTTTTGTAGCTAATAACGTTTTTCTGCATCTAAAAAAATAATTCTTGAATTTAAAATTTATTTCGTTGGTTTCAATGAGTTTTCTTATGTTGGAAAATTTAGATTCGTAGATTTTGAAAAATCTTCTTGAACCTAACAATTTTTTTTTTTTTATAGAAACAAATTGAATAAAAAAACAATTTTCTTTGCATTCTGCAAGTTGAGCTATTAAAATGAAAATTTTTAATATTTAAAAAAAAGAAAAGTAAATTCGCACAGTATGTAGATTGAATTAAATGAAACAAACAATTTTCCATTAGTGAAAATATGAAATTTCTCGTGCATTTTTGTAGCATTTTTATTAAAAAGTAAAACAAATTATATTACCACCGGCGACTCATCCGATGATTGTCCCATCCAGCTGAGGGAAAGAATATTGCAGTCGCACTTCGCATTATTGTCCTTCTCGAAATGCAAATGCATTTTGATCTAGTCACTCCCTGTTTGCCCATTAAACAAATCGGTATCAGCACCCCTCCTTAATTGGATCACCAGAATATGCTGTAACTCGTACTCAATTTCCTCATTATGTCAATTGTGTGTTTGTATATGTTTTATATATAAATCTCAGTCTAGAATGATGAAAACTAGCGACACCCTCAAAATCCAGACATTACTTTACACGATAAAAAAAATGTCCTCTTAAAAAATAACGTTTCATTAAATTCTTTTGTTTTTCGAAAAAAAAAAATTTCTATTTTTCTCTTCACACAAATAATGTCTTATTTACTCTTTTTTTTATCCTATATAAAGAACACTATATGTTTTTATGTACTTGTAAGGTCTCTTCTTTTGCTCTTAATTTAGAAAAATGCTTGTTTTTATCGAGCAAATAAGAAAATTGGGCAGTTGATTCTTTTCAAAAAATTTTTACATGAATATATAATTAAATGACGAATGAATTTGATCTATTTGAAAATTTTTTAATCCTAATATCAGCGTTTATATACAAAAAAATAATGAAAACTTGAGTCATTATTTGTTTCTGGTGAGGGTCGCCATTTTGCCGCCGCCACCGCTTTGACCACTTCACCAAGTTTCACCAATTTGAAAACGAAGTTATCGTTGAGCTTTCTGCGCGACCGAATGTCAGACTGAAAAGCTCGAGCGTGTCATGAAGCTCGGAATACAATTCCATGGCTCTGCGCCGATTTTATTGATTGTTCCGCAGGATTGCAACGAAATGCCGTCTGACGGAAATCTTCTTTACTACTGATTCACCCCCTCCCCCTGTCCATATTTGTAAAGGGTATGTCATGTTCTATGACGTCATCGAATACCGACCGAATTGAAAAACAATATTCGATATTTTTTTTAAATCTAAAAAAAAATTTTTTTTACTTAAATTAACTTTCGAATCTTTTTTTTTTTTGGTATTAAAAAAATTTGCTGAGAAAATTAAAAAATATTACAACTTTAAATAAGACTCCCTTCTTCTATTAAAATAAAATTTTATTTTTTGTTTCTATTAAAAATTAATTAACTGGTGTTTTGTGATTTTTTATGCACAAACTTGGCAAATTGGATATTGGAATAAAAAATAAATTCTAGAATAAGACAATAAATTGAATATTGTTTTGCAATTTATTGGAACATTCCTCAATTGTAAAGAATCCTCCAATTTTAAAAATTAATCTTCTTCCTCTTCGGCTGCTGCGCCACCGCTTCCCTTGCGCATATTTTTCCTCTTTACACGTCCAGGACGACCACCACCAAATGGTGACTTCAATGAAAAGTCAATATGCTTTTGAGAATCAAGTCTCACTATGAACGAAGGAATGTTCACCACTTGCTTCCTTACTCTAAAAAAAAAAAGTTTATTTATTTTTCTTTATTCTGACAAATATATTTTTTTCATATTTTAAAATTTTACTAATACAAAATCCTACTTTGTTTGGAGTATAACAGATTTTTTACTTCACTGAATTTTATTTCCAAATTTGCATTTATAAGAATTTCTACTTTACTAAATCTTCATTTATCATTTCAAACAAAGATTCGGTAAAATAAAAATTGAGCAATTTATAAATTCGATTAAATGAAAAATCGATTTTAATTTTGCTAAATTAAAATTCATTTTAAAGTAATTAAAAACAATCCTTTAAAATCAGGCATTAAAAAAATATCAAAAATTACTGTACCAATATCAAAGGACTGTATAAACCTCCAACATTTTGTCAAGACGTTAAACTTTTCAAGTTTAAGTGGTCTGACTGAAAAGTTGTGATCAAAAGATCAACAGAAACTCCAAACTTGTTAGACGTTAAACATTTTAAGTTTAAGTGGTCTTATTGAAAAGCTGGACCAATTAAGGTCCAGACTATTTTTTACTCGATCACCATTCACGATCAATATCGCCCTCATGAGCAGATTCTAAATTATTAAAAAGAAATTGTTCATTCAAATTCCAAAAATAATAAAAAATGTCAAAACTTATATTTTCTATATTAAGATATTTGTCTCCTGATTTGAAGTCGAACGAAGAATATTCCTCGTTCGATGATTAACACAGGAATTTAATTTTGCCTTGATGATTAGAAACAATCTACTTAAATTGTAGATATTCCTTGCCCAGTACAACAAGGCATAAAATAAAAATTGTTTATTGTTATTAATCAGTACAAACCTAATGTGACGTTGTCGAATGAGAACTCGGGCATGATGAATTGACTTTGCCAATCCAAGTTTAAAAACCTGAGTTTGTAAACGTCTCTCTAAAAAGTCTTCAATCTTCAAACCAAGTACATAATCGAGTTTCATTCTGGTTTCATCTAATACGCCAATGCGTACTAAACGTCTCAGCAATGCATTTCCTGCAAAATATTTTCATTGTTAATTCTTTGATACTTTAAACCGAATCATTAAATTAAATTTTTAACTTTACTCAGGTTAATTTGGTTCAACAAGAATATTCAGACAAGAGGTGTCAGAAAATACAAGTAAAAATATCATCATAATAGAAAAATTCTATTTGCATCTAATAGTAAAATTAAAAAATATATAAAGTTATCACCTTCGAAAAGACGTTTTTGATCTTTTTCTTCCAGGGTCAAAAGTTCACGAGCTGCTTTTCGGATTTTTGCTAAAGTGTATTTAACCCGCCAAACTTCCCTTTTATTTCTGAGACCATATTCTCCAATAATGCGCAATTCTTGATCGAGTCGCGCTTTTTCATACGGTCTCCGAGGAGTAACGTATGTCTTCGAAAAGACCGAAGGAATTCTCCCGTTCACCATTGTTCGTCAACTGTAAAAATATTAAATAAATAAGATATTGAAAATAATCTTATTTTAAACTAAATTGTTTAAAGTAAATAATTTAATCCCATAAAATAAGAATCAACTATAAAAGACGCTTATTCTGTAATTTGAATTGACCCACAAAACCACGTGGCAATTTTTTTTCAATCACGTATCCTAAAATTCATATTTCAATAAAATATTGCTCTTAAAAATTATTGATATTAATTTTAGAAATTATTTTTAAATAAATTTAAATAATTAACTAATTAACTATTAAAATTGAACGAAAATCACGAGAAACAATTTTTAGGTTAGGAAACATTAGTAAAAGAGAAAAAAAAAGGTGAAAATTAATTACTATTAAATGGATATTATTTCAATACGAAAAATAGTAATGAATAAAAAATAAAACAAATAAAAATAGTTAAATAATACTCTAATTTTTTAGTAAACTTACGCTTTTTTCGCGAGACGATAAACCTCCTGCAACGTTCACTGTGCAAATGGCCGAGTGATCTTTTTCCGGTTTCAAGGTATTTAACACAGCGCCCTCTATTGATGATCAATGCTGCCAACTACATAATTTTTATTCTCAATTACAGAATTTGATTGGCTGGAATTATTCCATAAAACCATAACGGAACCAATTGAAAATAAGAGAAAAGTTTTTAATGTTTCCTACCCTGATGTGCATCTGGTGCCATCTAAAGAAAATTTAAAGTTTTTTAAATGTCAACATTGTCAACAATTAGAAATTAAAATTTGTAATTGAAATATTTCACGTTTTAATTATTTACAGTATAGTGAGCAGTTTCTGAAGAAAAACTTTGTTAGTTATCGTGTTAATAATATTTGCTCAGAGTTCTTGTTTTACAAAAACTAATAAACTTCAATGGAAAGTCTATTTGAGGTTATGTTTCAGTAATATTGTTAACGTTTTTTTCTGTTTACAAACTATAAAATTAAATATAAAAGAGATAAAATGAACAAAGTGGATTCATTTATTGCTATTTTAAAAGAAAAAAATAAATTGAAAAAAGAAAAATATGAATTAGAAGAAAATGATAATGACAAAGAAAAAACAAAAATGATCAACGACGTTGTTGAAACAACTGGTAATTTTAAATTTAACTTTAAAATAAATGCAATTATTAAAGAATTATTTCATAAAATTACTTTCTTATATTTCAGAAAATTTGATTCAAACCAAAGAAAATATTGCGAAAAATCTGAATTTTTTAATATCAAATAAACATTCAATATATAAAGTAACTCAGGAAGTTGAGACAACAAAAGGTCTTCCAATTTCTTCTGAATATCAACAGTAAGTAGAAAATTGACAATTTTTTATTTAATTTAAATAATAAAAACTTATTTTACAGAGATTTAATAGACAAATTTTATTTTTTATAGGCAAGCTTTGGATCTTATTACAAATAGCATTACCTTTTTAAATAATGTTCAAGATACGCAAAGAATTCTAGAAACGGATAAAAATTTAGAACTTTCAAAACCTGCAAGTGATATCGTATGTATAAAAACATTATTTAAGAAAACATGAATTGCTTTACGGTACGTTACATAATTTTCTGTATGTTATATTAGGTACGAAGTACAAGAACAATAGAGAATGAATTAAAGAAATTAAGGTCTTCTTACAATCAAATTGAGGCCTTGCAGTTAAAAGTAGAGCAACTGAAAAGTACTCTTTTTATTCCGGAAAGTAAGTTTATGTATTAATATGAATATTATATTTAGATGTTTTAAAACTGACTCAGAGATATTAAAAAAAATTCTCTCTATTTCAGGTGAAACTCAACAGGATTTAGAAGATTCCTTATATATAAATACATAAGTAATTTATTTTGATAAAGTTTATTTTTACATTTTTAAAAACATTTTTTTTTTCTAAATCACAATTTACAGTTTTGTATTAAAATACACATTAAAAATTCAATTAATAAAAATCTCTATTCAATGCTTTGCTGTAGGAATATAATCGAAATATTGGCTGGATGCATCCAATTTATTGTCAAGGTCCAATTTCAATAAAATCAATTGAGGATCCACAATATCCTGTAGGTAAATAAATTATTTAATTAATATTATAACTTTTATTGTTAACAATTAATTTCATTTTTTTTTAATAATATTAACAAAAAATTGAATATTACCGAGAAATGTGTTTTTATCATATTAGAATGAACATTGGATGAATATGGTATTTCATCAATATATTTTTCTTGTGGCTCAATTATATTTATGTCTTTTTCTGGTCTTTCAACATGACCAATTTTCAATGACAATCTTTCTCTGCAAAAATTATTACATTTATAATAATATTTTAAATAATATTTAAAATAAGATTTTACCTTGCCAAAGAGAGTTTCTCGGCAGCTATTCTATTTTCCCTTTGAGCGAGAATTTCAAATTGTGTTTGCACTTGATTTATTCTTTCTTTAGAATCTTCTTCTATTCTACGAGCCTCTTTTAAAGCGCGTAATCCTTCTTCTCGTTTCGCTAATGCCGACTTTTAGACAACAATTAATAAAATAATATATAAATTAATTAAGTAAAAAGGAAAAAAATATACCTGAGTCAACGTTTCAAGTTCTTTTGCCTTTATTACAAGTTGATCTTCTTTCTCTTGTAAAACACTTTTTTGTAATTCTACTTCATTAATTCTCTCTTGCCATTTTCTTCTTTCTCGAAAAGCATTTTCCGCAGCATCTTGCGCACTTTTTATCATTGCTTCCAACTAAATTATTTTAATCATTAATTTGGATATTATTTTTAGTAAAATAAAATAATAATAATAATACAAACCTCTGCCTTTGCTACATCATCGTTGCCTGATTTCAATCTGTTGGAAATTTCTAATTTACCCTTTTCCTCAATGAGTGCCTCTCTTTCTTTAGCAAGAAGTTCAATTCGTTTCTCTTGCTCTTTACACCAAGCTTCTTTCATATCCTAAAAGAAAAAAATTAATTTAAACATTGTAAATAATATTAGAAAAATGTTTTTACATTTTTATTTTACCTCTAAATGATTGCGTTCCCATTTTGATTGTTCTAAAAATAATTCCTTTTCTCTTTGAAATGTTTGTTCTTTTATTTTGAGTCTGTCTTCCACTTCTGCATATTGTATATTTCTTTTTTCTGTATCGAGTGCAAGTTTAATGGCATTTTCTTCCAATTTTTGAGCCGATATTAACAATTGTTTTCGCTCAATTTCCGACGTTTCGTTTTGTTTATTCAGTTGTTCTCTCATTACTAAACAAAAAAAAAAGATGACGTAATTATAATTCTTATTCTTTTTTAAAATAAATAAACAAAATGAGTTAATTAAAAAAAAATGTAATTGAAATACTAGTAAGACAAATGTCTTCATAATTTAATTTGTACAGAATATGTTAAACTTCATTTAAAAATAATTTACATATAACTATCAAAAATATACTTTTTAAATGATCAGTTTGCGTTTGTAAATAAACTTCTCTGGATTCATGAAATGTATCATTTCTCTCTTCTATTTTCTTTTGAAGAATTTGTAAATTTCCAATAACATTATCAGTTTTTGTCACAATATCATCGATATTTTCCTTGTTGTTAGAAAAAATTTTAATTGCTTCTTGTTCAATTGTTTTGGCTTTTGTAATATTTTGAATAATTTCAGTGTGCTCATTTTGTAATAAAATTATACTTTGAGAATGTCGCTGATAAATTTTTTCAACAGCTAACAGATGCTCTTTCTACAAATGAATAATTAATTTTAAAAAAATTAAATTTTTTAACAATTATTTTATTTTATAATTTATTCATTTTCTTTATTTATTAATAATAATTAATCATTTTTAATATTTTTGTAATAATAATTATTTTACAAATGACTTACATAATTATTTTTTTGAATTGAAAATAGTTAAAAATTTACCTTCAATTCCTCTTTTTCTTCTTTATGAATTTTTTCCATTTCTGTCATTTCCACTTTTAATTTTTGCAATTTTGCTTCATAATCGGCTTCTAAATTATCGAAATTCAATTGCATTTTTTGCTCAAATTTATCAATAGAATCCTCTAACATTTTTATTTGTTTCCTTTAGAAAAAAATATATGATAAAACAAAATTAGTAGCATATAAAAATTATTAAAATTATTTTTACGTTAAAAATAAATTAGTGACTTAATAATTATGTTTACTTATATGACTCGTCAAAAATTGTCATTTCCTTTTCATGTTTTTCCCGTAGACTTTCTATTGTGCTTTCTAAATAAAGCTTTTCCAATTGTAACTTCTGTACGAGACTCTCGGATTCAATATTTTTGTCAATAAATTCTTTAGGAATGTCAGTCTTATTTGCAGAAAATATTAACGGCGTTGACTTTGGTTGAGACATCAATGTCTTCAATTCGAAAATAAATATATATTTATAAAATAATTTAGAAAATTTCCTATAAAATTGATTTTACATACCTGTAGATAACCATCTATTCGATCTTGTTGCAATTTCATTTGAGCTTCCAATAAAGCTTGACGCTCAATTTGCCTAGTAATTAACATATTAAATTGTTTTTCTTGATCGTTTAGCCGAAGTGTCTGATTTTCAAGAAGATTATTTAATTTATCATTTTGCTGAGATAAAGTTGAAGCTGTTCTCAGTACATTTTCTTGTTGTTGCATTGACACGAGAGCTGATTGTTGATCAAATTGTGTTCCCAATAAAATAGATGCAGTCTGAGAAAAAATTGGTCCACTATCTTGATTATGTTCAATAATTTCAGTTTCTTTACTCGCAGCACTAAGAGTTGAAGTTGCTGGTTCACTAATTTGTTTTGCACTTATATTCGTTAATGAAATCTCTTCAGATTTTCCTTCTTTGATACTTTTCCGACCTCCCAGCCATTCTGGTAAATTATCATCTACTGTATTTTTCGTAACTGTCTCCTCCTTTTTATTCGTTCCAAAAATAGTGAGAGAATTCGTATCGATTTCCTAAAAGAAAAATAAAATTATTTACAATTTATAAATTAATTAACTGTGAATAAATTAATGATAATAAATTTACGTCAGACTTCTGATCGTTTCCAAGTAATCCCAGAGGATCTAATAATCCAGTTGAGGGTCTTCTACCTCTTCTAGATTCTCTTGATGCTGATACAACAGTTGTAGGCGAATAACCAGTATTAGTAATTGTCGATGGTACGGAAAGTATTGATTCACTTTTTGTCATTGAATTGAAACTTGATGATGGATGATTTGATTTTGTTTCAATTTTTGATTGAGTTGATGGAATTTCGTTAATTTTACGAGAATCAGAAGTGGATTTATTTGTTAAACCGCCAAATAAATTTTCCATTAATGACGATTTTTTTGCTTGTTCACTATTGAGAGATCTTGTTTTTTCAGTTAAATTTGATACAATGTCATCACTATCATCAAACAATGATTTATGAGGTCTTTTTGGTAATGATTTTTCTGGCACACGATTAACAGTTGAATTTGAAGTAACTTTAAAAGAATTTTCCTTTGGCAAATTATTTGTTGTTGAATCATTAGAATCAATTCGAAAAGAATTTTCTTTTGGCAAAGTGTTTGATTTGGTTTCATTCACATTTCGTGAAACTGAATTGATTTTAGGTTGTGATACGTTTGATTTTTCAGTTGAAACTCCATTTGTCTTTATTCCAAATAAATCTGTGATTTTCTTAGTTTGTGATGTCATAATGGGAATCGATGTTTCTTTAGAAGTATCGTCCTCGGATAAAAGATCTGCGAGAGGATCATCTTCGTTGAAATCTAGTGAATTAATAAGAGTGAATAACATTTTTATAAATTAAAATTTTTTTTAATTAAATATATATACCTCGGAATGCAACTTTCTTTTTGGGTTCAACAATTTGGGCAGTGGATTCTTTTTTCTGTTCATTAGTTTTCAAAGTTCCACGAATCAAAGCGTCATCTAAATCTTCCATATTTTCCAATATTTTGTCTAAATCTGAATTAATATCAGATGAATCTGAATGATTGTCGTACATTTCTATCGCTTTTTATCCTATAAAATCTTTACAATGAAAAAACTTTTTTTAAATTAACATGTATTATATTTAACAAAGAAAAAATACTTTTCTACTTTTTTAATATATTTAATTAATTAAATTTTATTTTAAGTGAAAAATTAACCCAAAAAATAGATTTGTCAGTAATAAAAAACAGCTGTCAAATACCTTTATTATATCAAAAATATTATAAAAACAAAGAAATTAAACTATTATAAAGATAGAAAAATTACCGAAATTCAAAAAACTCTGAAACTTATGTCAATAGACATGAATTGTCACTGTCAATACAACACAATAGTAATAAACATTACTTATTATTAATTAATTAACCTGTGATCATTGAAGAATGAGGACGCCAAAGATCATGTGTGCGTTGTCATGACAACCGTACAAAAATTCATTGAGATTGGTTAAAAATGATCACGTGACTGAGTAGTGGGGTAAAAAGACAACTCATGTTATATGTGTTTGTGTGTGTACGTGTCAAATCGTGTAAAAATGGCTGACGTTTATTTTTCTGCTCGTGCTTATTGTAAAATTCTTTTACACGCTATTAAATATCCTTATTGTGCAATAAATGGTTTATTATTAGCTAAATCGAAAAGTAAATCCGATGCAAAAACAAGTGAATTACAAATTGTTGACTGCATTCCATTATTTCACATATGTCTACATGTTTCACCGATGTCAGAAGTTGCTTTAACTATGGTAAGTTGTGATAAAAAATGCATAAATTTAGTAAAAATAATTCAATTCTATCAGTATTCTTTTTAATAATGTTCAATTTCAATCGATATTAATATTAGATAATGTATTAAAAAATTGACACTTTTAGGTTAGGTTAGGTTTGTTGTCATTATTGATCTGTGTGTGATTGGTGTCATATTAATTGATTTGAATTTAAATTAAGAATAATTTAACATTCTTTATTTAAAGAAAATAAATATATTTATTAAATTTAAATTCTACATTAATTAAATACCGAAAATAATTTCAAAATAATCAAAATATATTACATACCTTGTGTAGTATGAATTTTAATTTTGAAATTTTTGAAGATGATTAGGTATTTTGCTATAATGTATTCACTATATTGTTTAAATAATTAATTTCTTCCAGATTGACCAATATGCTTCTCGTAAAGGGCTCGTGATAGCAGGTTATTATTTAGCAAATGAAAACATAAATGATATGAGGTACCATTTAAAAGTCTATATAATTTTCTTTTATCATGAAATAGAAAATATTTAATTTACTTAATGTTTAATATGTTTTTGCAGCACGGATAAACCAGCTCACAGAATAATGTCTGAAAAAATAGCAGAAAATTTCGGACAGGCTCTCCAAGTTGTTGTATGTATAAAATAAATTAGTCTCATAAATTAATAAATACAGTCATAAAATAAAATAATTATTTTTTTAGATTAATAACAAGGAAATGACTTATAATATGGATATTAATCCATTGAGGGTCTCTCAGCACGCAGACGGAAAATGGAAATCTAAGGATAAAGCAGAGTTTGTAGTTTTTATAATTCTTTACTCTATAATTAATTTTTGTCACATTGCGATTGTGATTGATATTAATTGGAATTTTTTTTGTATCTTTCAGTATAAATTTCGAAGGTGGAAAAACACTATTTGAAACAATGGCTTGTCTAATGAAAGAAGAAGACTTCAAAAATTTAGTCGATTTTGACAATCATCTTGACAATATTGCTTTAGATTGGCAAAATTTAAAGCTCAACGATAGAATAGAAGAAGTTATGGAGAATAATCAATAGGTCGGAAAATTTCACTAATTTTTTTCAATTTTAATATTATTCACAAATAATCCGTTTTCACGCGTTTTCTCTGTCACCAATCAAATGAAAGCCAATCAAATGTAAATACCCTGTAGAATTTATATATAAAAAAAATTGTTTCTGTTTTTATTTACTTGCAGTTTTTTCTTCTGAAAATTTTCCCAACTAGAAAAACGTCAGATTTCGTAATTTTTTCGTGTGATTAGAATAAAGTGAAAGGAATAATATTGGATAAATGAAAAATCATATCAGAGGAACATACCTTTATTGATTATTTGAAAATTTTCATGTATTTGTTTTTTTTTGTCTTGTTGACGTGAAGTTCAAAATGTTATACTGAATTAATAAATAAGACAGTATAACGCAACAATAACATTTGAAACTTTGAAAATTTTGCGCCACAAAATTTCCTACAAATAATCTGTACACACAAGGTTTAAACTCTGCTGGCAAAAATCAGGTACACAATTTATTATTTATGAGTTGTATATATATATGATGCTAAACGAAAAAGGAAGAGGGAAATTGATTCAATTTTCTCGCTATCAAATTCAAAATGTTGCGTGGAAAAATACTACGCGTGCAGGATGCTGCATTATCTTAAGCTAGATTTTTTTTTCATTTCAACTTAACTAATTTGGTTCATCACATATATTTCCTAACATTGAATATAGTTTTTTTTCATTTCTTTTAAAGCTTTAATCTAGCGGATTTTTTTTCATTGAGCACAAAGGCTTTTTTTAATCCAGCTACGAACAATTCTTGGTTTTCATGATATTCTAAATCGTAATCAAAAAATAGCACCTTTTCTTTCTACAGTACATAATTATCGATATTTCTTTGTTTTTCAATAATTATAATTTTCCAAGTTCAATTTTTGTTTAATTTTTACATTTGAAAACATTTAATTAATCGAAATTATAATTTTTAAATTTAATTTAGTGATTGTATTTCAAAAAAGTTAAATAAATTTAACATTTAATTTTTTGGTATAAAATAATTTAACGAATTTAAAAAAAAATATTTTTTAAAACATTTGTCGCACTCATAAATAATAATTACATTTATATTATTAAAAAGTTAAGATATGGTGCCTAAGGCGAGTCAAGCCGCATACAGTGATGTTTTACTTCTACGTGGAGATTCAAAGAACTGCTAATGATTTTTAAAATTTCTAAATTATTTTTATTATTATAACAAAAATAATTTAAAAATTTTGTTTGGTAATTTAATTTCCGTTCAATTAAACAAAAAATAATTTTGACAATCTTTTTTAACAATTCGTCTCTGTTTTTCAGGCGATTATTATTTTTTAAGTTCTTTGAATCTTACAATTTTCATAAAAAATGCTTAAAATGTGCAGATTTACTTGATTTCTCTTCACTTTAAATTCCAACGCTTTTTTCAAGCATCACTGCTTATTTTTCTGGCTTTATTAATTCCTGATCTTAACAAAAACAACGTGTGATGTTCCAGACATAACACGTATCATTTCAGTATCAAAAATACTTGCTCGTATCTAATAAATCGTATTTCTTTGGTGCATTAGTGTCAACTATATCTAATAGTGATAAATATATCGCTTCTCTGATTTAATTCCCTTCTTCGACAGACCAAAAATGTGAAAAATTTTGTTTTGTACTATTTTCTTTATTCTTATTCGGACTGTATTATATTTATATAATTATTTTATTTATAAATTTCATAATAGATAATTAAGAGAATAAACAGATTTTCCAGGTACTTTCATTGTTTTGCATTTAATATAGAACGAAGTTAAAGAAATATATCATTTTTAAGATCTGTTGATGAAAGGATTCAACACAGCCAAAGATATTTTTTTTTACTTAAGCAATTGTGATTATGTTTCAGTGTTTAGTTTTAAAGTCATTGTGTTTGCATTTCCAACTTGCATCAGTAATAATGATAGATCTCATGAGAAAATTGTTTTCTAATAATGAGGGAGAGAAAATTGATAATGTAAAATGCAAGAATGATTGTGAATTAATTAATTAATAAAAATTAAATTTACACAGAAAGAATGACAATTAAATTTATACAGAGAGAATAAAACCATTTAGAAAATGAATTAGAAATTCATTCGAAAAATAAAAAAAAAACTTAATTAATTATTAGCTGTCATCCCTTGTATGTTGATTATTTTAAATTCATTTTATTTCTCACTATCACATCCGCAAGTGTTTCTTTATATATTATTGCAAGGGAATAATTATTTTTTTTTAAATTCTTTCAAATTTTTTAGAATAAATGTAATATGGATTTGCAGAAAAAAAATTTCCATTAAATGATATTTCGATTCATTTAAAATAGAAATTTGAGAATTGCACTGTTTCTAAATTTTTCTATTTTATGTTCACCTACTTATAGCTAGAGAATTTAAAACTACATTTCGAATGCACTGCATTTTTTTTTTTTTTGTTTTAATTAAAATTTTATTTAAACTCAGTTTTGTATAAAATTGCAGCATCGACGATATTTTCAGTTGTAAACCTACTTTTTATATTAATAGTTTCGCTTGATTTATCTTTCTTAGTAATAAAATTTTTAATTAAAAATTAGACTTCAATTTGAATATTACAAAAAAAAATTGTTTAATCACTTTTCAAGCTTATTTTGCAAGAAAATTTTTTTTTCAATAAATATATATATATATTTCTTTTACAAACAAGAGCCATTAGTCAAAAGAAAGCAGAAATGGAGAATTTTAACTTTTTTCTCTAATTTACGATGCTCCCAAATTTTTAATATTTACAAATATCTCGCATCGAGCTTAGTGATCATGTGTGTTTCATTTTTTACATTGCTTTTGTGCATTATTTCAAAGTCCTGGAATTTGAGTATGATTTTTTTAAATTTATTAAGTTTGAATATATAGAAACGTTTTCAAAATATTTAAATCATTTCAAATAAAATTTCAAGTTTTATCTTTCAAATAACAATTTTTCTTTTTTGGTATTAAAGAAACAAAATACGTTTCAATTTTTAATCAAAAATTAAATTAATTTGTTATTTCTCGAACGTTCACAGTCTTCATACTAAAAATTCTGATATTTATATTTGTTTATGATACTTTCTCTTTCTTATCTATGATGCTGATGATTATTATAATTAAGATTAATAATACGTGCATATTTACAAAATTCTTGTAACTTTTTTTTTGCCAACAATTATAAAATTTTCTAAACACCCCACAACAACATTACTTCACTTGTGTTTGTAAATAACAATTGCACATGTTATTTTTAATGCATTTTTGTTTTAATTATATATATATATATTTTTCTTGTATCCCTTTTAAGAAAGCCAACAATCTTTTGGACGGCTGCGCGATCAATGCAGGACATTTTTTTTCAAAAAAAGTTGAGCGATCCTCAACATTTAAAATTTTTTAAAATAGCCTTCCACTTTATATATATTGAAAGATGTTAAAATTGTCCATATAAGCTCAAGCGTGATCTTAATTAGCAAACTTCTGAAAGACATTGAATCGGCATTTGGTGCAAAAATCCATATATTAAGGTTTTGGATTTTGCATGGACACTGCCTGGACGTGACATTAAAGCAGTTTTTTTACACACAAAAAAACCGAACATTTCATTATTCGGAGACCGGCAGTTTTTTCCCACAAGAAGAAAAAAAAAAGGAAAAGATTGTCGATCGGAATTGATTTTTAATTAAAAAAATACTGTAACAATATAATTATAATTCAAAATCTCGAATAATTTAATCACGAAACAATTATTTTATAGTTATTATTAATATTTTTTAATAACCTATTTGATAAAAGTTAAAATTCTTATTATTTGGCTAATAAGACTAATATCTCTCCCACTAAATAACGATCAACATTTTTAACGAATGAAACTCGATAACAGATCGATTAAACGCATATATATATATATCTAAAAAACAATTTGGGTTTTCTTAAAAAATCTGTCGATTATTAAAATCAAACATTTCTCATATTAAACATATTCATTTGAGAAATATTCGCAAAATTTGACTATTATTCTAAAATCGGCCTCTCAATGCAAAAAATAATTGGACTAAATTTGTCCTTTTTTTTCTTAAAAATCACTATGAGGGCTCAAAAAAAGCAAATTATTATTGTAAAATTGTGTAAATTTTTTTTTCCCCACCTCATAATAAATGATTCGTTCTTGTCCTAATATACATCCTGAGGGAAAACGATTTTCGTTTTCACAAAGACATTTTTCGTTTTGGACTCATTTGGGAGTGTGTGAAAATTGAATGAAAAATAAAGTCATTTCGTCAGATTCCGAAAGGGACTGACGAATTCATAATGCTACGTCAACGGTGACGGAGATTCGGGCGGCACTGGAAGTTGAGGTGTTTGTCGTGATGGAACACGCCTTGGCCAGTGTTGTGGTGATACTGGTGGCGTTGTTCTTGGTGTCACTGGAGCGGATCCTGCCGTTAACCTCCAGGAACTTCCCGGTCCAGTTCGTCCCATATTTGAAAGACTGACACTGCTACTGCTACATGCCACAGCTGCTGAGAGATCAACTCTTGATACAGCACTTGAAAAATAAAAAAAAAAATTAAATAGTACTGAATTATTCGTTTTTTAATCTTAAGTGAGAAAATTATCAATATCATTTTGTATTAATAATAAACTAAATTATTAAAATAAAAAATATTTGCAAAAATGTTTAAAAATAAATATAATTTAATTACCGTGATGGAGGAGCAGATCCAGTATAAGAATATAAACCAACTGGAGCACTTCGTGGTTTTATGGCTGAAACTGAACTACATGATCTGGGCAAAGCTGGTGAAGGTGGCGCCGAAGGTAACATTCTCGGGGTTTGAGGTGGTGTTCTTCCACCAGTTAGACTTCCTGTACTGCTTGAAGATGATTTTCTTCTCAAAGCTCTGATAAAAGACAATTATTTTATTTGTCCCATTTCTTCAACGAAACAACAGAATTTTATTCTTATATCAAAAAGTAATAAAGTAAAAATAATAAAAGAACATTAATAAAATGAAAATTAAAAAGTTTTAACAATAAGAAACGAACCTTTTGGAAGGTTGCCTGCATAATCCGGTTGGACAAGGACGACCCATAGCACATTTTCCCTCGCAGACTTCTCGAGCCAATGCTAAAGTCTCATAATTTCTCAAAGTCGCTCTACAAGCTTCACCATCTGATGAGGCGAGAGCCAAACTGGGAAAACGTTCTTTTAATCTTCTTCTCTCCTGTAATTTTTTTTTATTCTTATTTATATTGTTTTGTAAATAATTTTGAATTATATAAAAACAAATAAATAAATGTAAAATTTTAATAATAAACAAATTAACGGTATAATATATTTGAAATTTAATTCACACCTCTTGAAGACGAGTAGCTTCAAAATCCTCGAGTTGTTGTTGAAATCCAACATTTGGATTTGCCACTGCTCGTCCAACCCTTACCACTTTGAGCGCATCTTTCCACGATAAATTTGTGGTACTCATGATGTATGCGACCGCAACCGTCACGCTTCGTGACATTCCGGCTAAACTGAAATTTAAAGAATCCAAATTTTTAAAAAATCGCCTTTATAGTTCTAAACATCCTTTTTATTTTTTTGAAAAATAAGATATAAAAGGAGAACAAAACAATTTTTCTCCATACAGAATTTTTTTAATAAAAAATTCTTATAAAATTTATATAAAAATTTGACATTATTTTCTTCTGTATAGTGATTCTATAATTTAAATAAAACTATTGTAATAATTTTACCAGTGAATTAAAACGTTGCCTCCTCGAAGACGTGCTGCGTGAATAAAATCATTGCAGAGAGAAAAATATTGTGATAAATTTTGGTCCGGTGTATCAGCCGCTAATATGCATAAGTAATGCTTGTCCTGATAAGAAAAAAATTAACTAAATATTTGAAACAGAGAAAAAATTTTATTTAATTAAAAAAGAATTTTTTTTAAACTTACAGAATGAAGACGACGTGCTGCATCATGTATGGCAAGGATATGAGTGATTTCATAACGCTCCAGTTGTGTGGCATCCTTACTGTCACGATAATTGCCAACGTAAAGACCCGGCAAGACCTTGACAAAAACGGTAAGGTAATTAACTACTAACTGCGCAGAGATTTTAATAATTATTGTATCACTAACATTGAATTTCATTTAGTCTTATATATTTAAATTACTGACATTATTCTTTATTTAAATAATTCAAAAGAAAATAAATTAATAATTAATATTATTTTAATTTAATTTTAATTATTATTTTATTCAATTTTGAAAATCAATGACATCATATAAAACAACGGAGAAAATGTTTAATTAAATTATTGTCATTTTTCATAAAGATCAAAGAGAAAAGTTATTTTCACTTGTTCTAAAAGTAAATCAATTGTATAAAAGAAGAATGTGATTTTCATAAAAAGAAAAAAGTATTAGTGAATGAAAGAATTGTAGGAGTCACTTTAAAATGAGGACGTTCTGTAATATTGAACGTTTGACACAAAATGTAGACAGATATAGATATTGACGTTGATAAGTTTCCTTTATAAATATGCATAATGTGTCGACGGCTTTAGGTACAAAAAGTTTGATATGGTTTTTAAATTATCTATAGCGTAATAATAATTATAAAATAGTTCAATAGTCTTTACACGATAGCTATAAAGTATTCTTCGAAAATTTGAACAATACTTCATTAATTTTCATAATAAAATTATTTTATCCCTATTTGATATTATAAACAGAAACACTTAATTATTAGAATTATATTAATTACTTAATATGAATGATTATCAAGTAATAATTTTAAGAAACAAAAATTACATTCGATTAAAATAAGAAATATTTAAGAATATTTATATATATATATATATGGGAAATTGTCCAGAGATTTCTGACTTCTGGGCCATGACCCTGTTTCCAAAAATAGTTTACATTTTAAGATAATATTCACAATTAAATATATATTTTATTTATTCTTTCATATAGGAAAATAAATAACTATTCGCGAATTTATGTGTAAATCAGTTCACACAGTTTCAAATGAAACCAATGAAAAGAGAATTTTTCACCTAAGAATCAATACAAGTATACAAGAATATTAATACTGTTGATAATTTTATATAAATTATATAATTTTCATTTTGCTAAACAAAAGAAAATTATATTTCTTAAAAATTATTTGTATAATAAGAAATAATTCAATTTTAGCAATAAAAAAAATTTCTCAGATATAATTCTTAAAATTTAAGAAATAATCAACTATTTCAAATATATTGTTCTAGACTATGAAAAACTTGTGAATCAATTTATATTAAGAAATTCAAGTAATGGTAATTTATTAATTAAAGAAAAAAAGTTTTCGTTTTTTTTATTGATAGAAATAAGAAAAAAAAAGTTAGTAAAATGATCATAAATCATAAACCGACGGTTAGTGTTTTATTGGCACAATTCCAAGCAAAAGTGGTCTCTATTCGAATACGGCATTGTTTAATTTATGCCAAAAAAATAATTTCCCTTTTGGCCCAAAACGAACACTAAATCACGTCTATTATTTGACCAATTAAAGAACACCAAAAGAATATTTTAAAGTACTTTTATACTACATACATCAAAGTTTGAAATTTACTTTTTCTTTATAAGAAAAAAATCCGATAATATTTTATAAATTTTTTTCTTTCTTTATTTCAATAATATATAATTAGAAAATAAAAATAAATTTTGCTTTATCTTTTTTTTTATCAATATAACATTTCAGTTTATATTTTTATTTTTAATGTTAACATTTTTCAATACTTTTATACAATATTTCTCGTATATGATAAATAAATATTAGTGCTAAAATTTTTTTTTAATTATTTATAGAAAGAAATTTGAGAAAAAAAAGAATTTACCTTGTTCATGCCATTGCCCATTTTGTCGTTTGAGAAAAAGATCTAGATTTTCTATTGTTTAAAGTCACAGCCAACGAGAACGTGATAATGATTGGAGATTTAAAAGAGTTTTTTTTTATCGGTTGTCTATCATATATGTATACATAGCATATTGTTTTCAAGATTATTCTCTACTCATCGAGCCTCCTCCATCCTTTCATTGTCATCCCCGTCGTCTTCGGCCTCTTGAATTTTTTTGATGAAGGTGCCCATCCCATGTTGCACCTTTTTCGCTGTCTACAGCGTTTCATCTTCGATCCCTCTTTCTTTCTCCCTCTCTCCCTCGATTCGCCACTTATTCTTTTAATCTTTTTCAATATTCACTTGACTGCATTCATGGATCTCATTCACGCGCGAATGAAGCAATTCTATAAAAATGAAAAGTGAACATTTTTCTCTGATAAAATATAGAGAGAAGGAAAACAAGTCAAACTTATTATCTGAATTCGCTTTTTTTTTTTAACAAATTCTAAAAATATTTGCCCTCTTTCTGTCGGGACATTATTTTTAATTAAATATATTATATTGTTAAATGAATTATCTCTCATTTAATTAAAATTATTATCATAGAAATTAAAATAAATAAAAAAAATGTTTATTGTGATAAACTTTTAAAATGTTACCCTGAAAGAAATATTTGAAATTTTTTTATTATAAAAAAAAAATTCTAAAAAATTAATTTGTAAAGTTTACATCGTATTATAATAATCCATTGATTAATGTGGGGAAAAAATTAAAGTAATTTTTATAAATATACAATTGAATTAAATAATTAGGTTGTAAATTTTAATTAATACTTTTGAAAAAAATGTTTAAAAGTTTAATTGATATTCAATCAGTTTCATTAGGGGTTTTGGTAGTAGAGTAGGAAGTTGTTAGTCAGACAATTTTCGTCGGATCGTAATTGGCTTTATCCACTGGTGCTCACCCCATCTCGAAATGATATTCTATCTATACTCTACTATAATAGTGGTCGTTTAACATTGTTTCAGATCAGTTAAATAGCAATTATCTGATTAGATATAAACAATAAACAATGTTGTAAATTTGATATTGATATTTTGATTATAAATTTCCTTATGTTACATACATAGTCCTAAGGACTATGTCATTAAAATACTATTACTCGACAATTAAATGAAAATTAGTTATCATAAAAACCGCGAAAATTAATTTTTTAAAAAATTTAATAATTTATTTAAAACGTTTTGATTAATTTTTTACTTATTTGCTGAAAGTTAAGGACTTTTCACTAAAATTACCAATTTTTATTGGTTCCTTTGTTAAAAAAATGAATACGAATTTGAAATTTGACAATTAATTTAACGATTCAATAAAAGTTTTTTTATTTTTCATTGAGCATAACAAGAAAATCATGATTGAATTGAATCAGTTAAAATTGGAATTTCAAGCGAAACAGAATCTCCATGTAATATTGAATTCAAATAAATGATGACACATATTGGCCACATCAGTTTCCATGAAAGCTATTCAACTGGTAAACATGTTTTGGTTCATATTCAATAAAAGTAATTGGACGTCCCAGATGGCAAAGTAGTTTTTTTTTTGTTTATAAAAATAAGGACACCTTTAAAAATGCATTTTGGAAAATATGTAACATCATATTTTGTGATTTATGTTGATTTATTCAAATTATTTTGAACTACTTAATTTTTTCTGTTATATCTTAAGAATTAATAATTTCTTTCAATTATTTCCAACTATTCTTTAAAATTTAATTCTTTAAAATTAATTTTTATCATTCATTTTATAAAAATTATTTTCTAACCAGTGAGAAAGGTGAATAATTTTTCATTTCTTTAATTAAGAATCTCTGTTGGTCCAAAAAATCTCAAGAGACTCATGTGTTATTATTAGTCACATTCTTTATGAGTTGTATAGAAAAATTTAGAATTAATAATAATTACACTATTTTATGTAGCAAACATGTGAATTAATAATTTTTTAGGATTATTTTTCAATAAATTAAGCCTTTGATTTATTAATTAACGGTTTTTCATTCATATAAATTAAATAAGCACGATTTATGTCAGTGCTTTTTTTTGTTTTATAAATTTCAAAGAAAAAAAAATTTTTTTTTCCAGTGAAACATAAATTTTACTACTTTCTCTGACTTTTTATGTAATATTTAATATTTTCCGATCTCGTGCATTGTTGGAATCATAAAACAGTCGCATTGCTGCATAAAGTAGGAACATTTGTTGAATCAATAAAATTTTTCATTCAATATGATAATAATATTCGAAGAGAAAAATTTTTTCTTTTTATGATCTTTAACGTTCGCTGGTAATGTGAAAACTGGTGTATCGTTTTCTCATAAAACTCCAACTAGTTGAAGATCAAAATGTGAATATCTTTACTAGGCAATGTTCAGTCAAATTTTCAGATCTTTTACAATTTACTATGTTCAATGAAAAAGAAGCTTATAGAATCAAATTTGAAAAATCTTTAAGTATTTCTTATCTTCAAGTATTTCAACTTAAAGAGTATTATAAGTTAATGATTCTAATAAATAAAACAATTAAAAATATATCAAATTTCAAAATATGAATGAAAAAATAGTAATTTAATTAGTTATTCTTTTCATTGAAATGAAAAATTACTCACGAAAAAAATTCAATGAATAAATAAAAAGTTATTAATGATTTGTTACATATTTTTCATAAGCATAATAATATATCGAATCATAACTGGAGTATCGATAATAGCATTAAAAAAACATTCAGGATGCATCACGCGACTTCAATTACTTTCATCTGGCTTCTTTGAATATAAAATTTCTCATACATAATAATTTCAAAAAAAAAAAAAATCAACAAAAATTTATTCCTAAACTTAAAAATAAATGTTATTGCTACAGAAGCAACAGATTGATTTGAATATAAAATTGATTGTCAAATCTTACCCTATATAAAGTTTAATTGAAAAGTTGGATTTTGCTTGAAAGAAAAATTAAAAAAAAAAAGAAAACGAAAAAAACAAAAAAAAAAAATTTTTTTTAACGGAAAAAAAGAAAAGAAAAATGGAGAAAAATCAAATAAAAACGAAAAAAGAAAATGAGTTTTCGATTTATCACGGGCTCTTAAAAAAAAAAAAATTATGAGTGCCTTCTGTATATGATATTCCGCGAGAACAAGAAAAAGAGAAAAATGCACCAGGAAGTTAAGAGAGTTGGTGCTAATCGCGTATCAGAAGGGCGCGCCGTGCGAAAACTGTCTCGTTTGTTAAAGAAAAAGATTGAACAGGAGAAAAGCGCCCACAGACAGACACTGGGACTAACAGTGGTGTAGGACGGATTGTTGGGAGCGCAGGCGCCGCTCGATAACCTGGCCAACGAAATTGTTAAATCTGGTCTACTAGGGCATTGGAATGAGATCCCTGGGTCACACCACAACTTTGCGTTCCCTCGATTAGGCTTTTCTCTCCCTCTATGTATACCTATACTTTCACTAATTGTCCAGCTAACTTAGCAAATTAATTATATTTATTTTACAAATAAATCGTGTATATATATATACCTTTTTTAATATACGTGAAGTCGAAAATTTAGGGTTTCATGCTTTAATTATATGTGATAATAATTTTAAAGCAAAAAAAAACTCGTACAAACCTGGAAAAAATAGATTATTTAAAAATTACTCCAAAATTTTTAAATTTCAATTCATAAATAAAAAAATTTGTTTTATAACTATTATAGAATTATTAATTTAAATTATTATCATTAATTACAGTATAATTATAACAAAATATTAATACTATAAAGAAAATATGATATTTTCTTTTTCTATCATTTCAGACAAATTCGCAAACAATTATTATTGTTCAAGCTTTAAATATTACACAACGTTGTAAAAGAGGTAGTAAAGATTTTTTTAAAAATTAATTTAAATAACACTTGTAATGAAATTATATTAAAACGTCAATAATCGAGAAGAAATTATAAAATAATAATTTATGAGGAAGTGATTTTCAATATAGATAATTGCAAATCCGTTATAATGAAACTCTTGACTCATTCAAATATCTTTTAAAGATCTTTTAAAATTTTTTTTCTTTTGCAATGTTGAGAAACAAATTCGTTGCATTTTTTTAAAAATAAAAATAAAAGCTAACATAACACTTGAAGATCGTGGGGATAAAAAGTCAGGAGACGAAAGAACCAATTAGATATGAATCTAGTTCAAACATATTATTGAAAGAAAAAAAAAGAACGTAAAAAATTGCTGAATAAAAATAACACGAATTTTTTAAAAATAAATTATGAAAAAGTTGATTTTTTACACAAATTATAAATATTTTTAAAATACAATTATTATTGTTAATTCCAAATTTTTATATTTTAAAATATTTTATTAATATATAAATATTCTTAAAGATTTATTCTTTATTTTTAAATAAATTTTTAAATGAATTCCTAGGGTGGATAATTTAAACCAACGCCCAGTGGACTTTCTCCCTGTATAGGAAGTCCTTGATGAGAATAAACAATAAAGAAAGAAACATCAGATGCAATGAAATCCCAAAAGAATAATTCAAGAGTTATAAGAAAAACATTGCTTCTATTTAATGTAAGCAATTTTGTTTGTTTCTTTTTTTTTATTTAACTTGTTATAAAAGTTATTAGAACTGTCGTAAAATGGGTTTATTTTTATAACACTTTTAATAAATTATCGCTAATTAAAATATGTTCCGGCATAACTGTCTCATGAATATGTATTAAAGGGGCGATCTTGTTCGGCAAAGTTTATTTCATCTATTTATATGAAATGCAGAAATACTGACGTCAAACTAAAAATTCCTCAATCTTTCTTCTCGTTTTATAATTTTCTAATATCATCTTTTGCCCATTATTGACATTATTTTGTTTTCATATCTTTTTTTAAACAAAAGTTACATGTTTCATGAATTAAATTTTTTTATTGATATAGTATATTATAATATTACATTAATATAATAAAATATATAATATAAACTAATTTTTATGATGTAATAAATCCAGTTGAATTAAAGTAAATAAATTTATTATAATATATTTATCTACTTAATACATATTGATGAGACAGAATTATAATTTAATTTTCAAAATTTAAATTCCATTAAATTCATATACAATGTAGAAGCGCAAAATTTATTTTAAGAAAATGCAACGTTTGTATAATATTTATTTAAAAAAATTAATGAATGTTCTCGTTCTACCCTTCAATTAAAATTCTGTTTCAATATAATTTTTAACGACTTTGAAATAATTATAATAATTGTAAGTAGTTTCCGGCGGGATGGCGCATTACCTTCCATTATTATCTTTTAACACGTGACTCCATAGCACTTGTAATTTGAATGCGTCAAAGAGTTTTTCTATATACGCGCCAACACTTTAATATCCATAAAAATTTCAAATTACTTTGGCAATTGCCAATAAAATTCATCTAAATGACTGTAAAAATAATAATCATCACTATATAAAAGTATATCGTAAATGTAATTTCTTCTTTGGATTATTATAGTAACACCTATTTGAATTTTTCCAAAATACTAGTGTTAAAAATTTATTTTTTTTAATAAAAAACATTAAAATTGGAATTCTTTAAAAAAACAGAAATATTCTCGCAATTAAAGAGGAATAATCTTTTCAGCTTACAAGAATGATTTAGCCAAATTGAAAAATTATTAATTAATGACTAAAAAAGAAATTTTGAAAATATGCTTACTTCCAATTTTAATGAAGATGTATTTTTTCTTGTTTGAATTTTGACTTTTTATTATATCCGACGACGAAGTTGAGTCATCCTTCGGGAATTATCGGCGTTGTGTTTGTTCCCGGCCAGTAGTAGAGTAGCAGCAGCACTCGAGTGTAAAAATGCTTGGTGAAGAATATTATTATTGTTGTTTGCGTTTGATTGTGGACACGGATTCTTTAACAGGTGCATTACAGATGAGGAGTAGGCCAAAAAGAATTAATGATGTTCCGCACCACCACATCAATGATGTTGATTCACCAAATACAAGAAAACCTATCAGTGCCTGAAATCATTGATATTACATTATTATTTGTAAATCAGTGTCAAGTGCAACCAAGTGTAATCTTTTAAGTCTCAGTTTCTATGAAGGCTACTTCCTACAATCAACGACAGTGATATCGATAGCAAGTTAATATCAAATTTAATTCACTATTTCAAAATAATGTTTATAACTTTTTATTAAAATAAATAATAATAAAACTCGTTAATTTTAGATTTAAGTATTGGTATTTTGTTTTTTTGTAAATTTAAATTTCTCAAAAAGTGGATAAAAAAATGACAAATTAAAATAATAAACAAAAGTGAATTAAAAAGAAAAAGTAAAACAAACACGTTTATATGATTTTTGAAAAAAAAACGAGATTATATACATAATTTGGAAATAGTTTCAACGTTTTATATAATGAAATCCATGAAGAAGAAACTTCACGTGTCGAAAGGTGAGTTCTCTGTATTTTTGATAACTTTTTTTATTGAGCAATGATTTCAAGTGGTCATAAATCAAATAGTAATTCTTTTGTATTTAACAAAATCCACTTCTAGATATAATTTACTTTTAAAAAAAACATTTTCCCCCATTTTACAAAATTACATAAGTCAATTTTTTAAATTGCAAATTTTCGTATAATAAATTTGCAAAAAAAATCGACTTTTTCTCCAATCTTCAAATTTGTTTTGCAAAAAATTAATTTTACAAGATTAGAGTTTTGTATTTTTGCAAAAACAAAAAATTGAATAAAAAACACAATGTAAATAATTTTGAAAATATAATAAAGTAATACTAAGGACAATGGCAATGCAAAAACTAAGGACAATTGAAAAGGAAAGACCTTAAGGATTGATGACCTTCGGCCGGCATCAATGGCCCGTAAACAATAGTCGTAAAGTTCCCAATTGTCAAAGCAGATCATAAATAATTTATAGAAATTAAATTTAAAGAACGAGACATATTTTTGCTATTTTTATGCTAGCAAAAAAAAAAAAAGAAATAACTTTATATAAAGCAAAATTTTCAATTAATTTTGATTTTAATTTATAATTACAATTTGTCACTTATTTTAAATTCATTAATGTAATTAATATATTTTAGTTTTGTTTTCGCAAGTTTCTAATTGTAATTTTCCTGCAAATTGTAAAAATCAGATGAAATATCTAGAAGTAGATTTTATATGAATTAAATAAGATTGTACGCATCAGATAGTAACCGGTGAAATCGAATAATTCACTAACTCTTGTGACTAGAGTTAGGAAATTAATATTAAGTACAAACTGTATATATATACGTTAAACTGTTAAGATGAAGTATGTATTGTGTAAATCATAAATGTGTTTCTAACATGATTCTGATTACATACATATACATACGCTTTATATATAGGATGTCGGGGAATAAAACTTTTATCAACAAAGTACCTTTCACTCTTTCTCTCTCACTCCCTTCCACTTAAAGCGCACACTCTCCGAATGAATCAACACGAAGTGAATAAATTAATTGCCGGCGAATTCACCTCGTGAGTGAGATATCAATCATTATGTTATTTTAAGAAGTTAACCAATTTATCAAAATTGACGAAATTTGTATGAAAAAAATTTTTCTAAAACTTATTGTTAAACCCGTTCTAAGTTTAACGAATAATTTTAATTTTTCTTCTTCTCTCATCTTTTTCTTCATTTTTCACTCATCTGAATAACGCATAACTAAAAAAAAAACCTTGTTTACCGCATTGACAATTTGATTATAATGGAAAAATCCAGAGTTGAATATAGCACATCTCTCTATAATTTATTCCACGAGAAGTCTCAGATATCCGGAAATAAATCTTTTGTCAGAAAGCGGAAAGGAACGCTAAGTACAGAGACGACGGCAATTATTTTTAAAATCTCGGAATATACAATAACAAAAAAAAAAACGTAAAATAAATGCACTAATTATAATAGCTCATCAATTCAATTATAAAAGAGAGATTTTTAAATATTGCATTAAATTAAAAACCAGTTTATAGACACTTTGTACAATATCAAAATATTTGCCTCACTAAATTTATGATTATGTGATTAATTTAACAATATAAAGTAAATACAAATATTTACAATAAAAATAATAAAATTATTTATACTTATTGACGAATAATAATTTTTAGTCTAACGAAATTAAATAATGATAATTTAAATTTAAGAATTTGTCAAGGAATAAAAAATAAAAAAAAACCGAGTTAATAATAGTTGTCTTTGGGACGAATTAAGACGGTGACGGCAGTGCCTGTCACTGGTTGATAACGTTTCATGATAACCAGATAACGAGAGATGTGTCTCATCATATAAACTGAAAACAAGAGTAGAATAAATTTGATTTTTGACTTACGGAACAAAAATAGTTTGTCGCTGCGCTTGCAACCGTTGCCGGCAACGAAGATTCGTTTCCTTGTAGAGCTTTTACGAAAAAAGTGCAACCTGCAGTATTACTTCCAATCATAAGTATTAAAAAACATATCTTCGGCAACAAGTGAACCTAAAAATAAAATAGTTCATTAATTAAATACGAAAATTTTTTATTTTCCTCTCAATACTTACCAAAGGCATAATATCAAAACTTCCTGCAACCTTGCCAAATAAACTACCGGTTGTTGCTAAAATACCGGCAAATACAGCCAAATGAATTTGAGTGTTTTTCCCCTCCATTTTTCTTTATCTTCTTTAATTATCAAATTTTTAATAAATATTCGTCCAAATGTTTTTCAAGTCTTTTAAAATTTAAAGAGACAAATTCGCAAAATTCCAATAATCACTTCATGGTCCTTTCTTATTATGTCCACGATTAATATATAATTATCAATATATTAAAACTTCAATTGACAAGGACATAAATGTTTCGCTCCGTTAATTTCAATAAAATGAACCTTTTAATGAGGTATTAAAAAATATTTCCGTTGCAATGTATGTGCGACAAATGAGAAAGTCACGCAGAGGAAGTAATTCATTTAATTGTTAATCTATCTGCAATTGAACATGCGCAATTATTAAACAGTGCTTATCTGATTCTCAAATTATGATGATTTTTCCAAACAAAAAAGATATTTATAAATTATTTTTGATAAAAAATAGAAGGAACATATAGTATACCTGAAAAATATAACCTCAAAATTACGACAATTCTCTATAAGTAATTTTCTTGGAATTAAAAGAAGATTTTTACTAAATCTTTATGAAATTTAATGACAAAATTCACTTTTATTTAGTACTTTCAAAATATAATATTGTTAGAAAGTTGTAAAACAACAAAATTGATAAAAAAAAAAAAAACCGGATCTTACCTCGAAATATCTATGTAGAAAGGTTCCAGTGAATTTATGACTCATTGTCAATGTGGAACTGATATAATTAAGTGACGAATTTAATTGTTGTCACTTTGAATAATAGAAAAAAGAAACAACTAATGTAAAAGGATTTTTATATATAAAAAATAAAGTCGGAAAAAAGTGTGTGTGTGTGCACGAGTCTACAGGTAGTTTTGCGTTCGAGGTGGTTTTAAAAATGGCGGCGGACAGGTAGACGTTGGACGTGCGCGCTGGCATTTCCGAGGTTTTCAATGCATTTTTCGCGTTCAAAATTTCCTGGGATGTGACAGTCGACGTCGATATTGTTATCAAAATTGAATGAGAGACGATGCCATTAATTCAAGAGCATGATTTCTCAAGAAGGTGAAACTTTTAATCTCGGTAATAACCCGACCTCACACATTCCGGTGCTCCTTAGCGTGAAAAAAAGGACGAGAACAAACTGACAGAACTTGTATTTCTCTAAAGGACATGTGCGAGAAATTCCACCAGCTTTGATGTAAGTAAGATGTTTGTTATCTATCTGATTTATCTCGCGATTTACTTTTCATTCTCATTGCCACGATGTCACCTTTTTTCTTTATAATATAATACCTTATACTTCTTTATATAGTTATTTATTCAGAATTTCAATCACTGCATTTTTACCGTTTTACGGAGCAATTTCACAATTTTATAGTTCGTTCAATAAGAATCAATAGGACCTGAATAGATATCAATAAAATACCATTTCTCTTTAGAATATTGTATTTGTTTGTGTCTGTAAAAAGGTAATAAATCATCTTATCTTTTACAATCGTTCCGAAATTGTTCGAATTAAAGGCAAATGGAACGTGGGATTATTTTATTCAAGATTCGTAAAAAATATATATCAAAATTTAAATGCCGGTAAAAATGTGCAGATAAATCTAAAAAATAATTTTTAAAAAATAATTATTAAAACAAAATTTTCAATTTGATATCCTCAAATATTATATTAGTTCTAAAAAAAACACTCAAAAAAAATGTAATAAAAGAAAGAAGCTTTTTTATTATGCCTTATAAAATTCTGCATACTAGAAGAATACCATTTCCTTCAATTTCTGAATAAATTATTTACGTTCTAAAAGGTTTTGCATCAAAGGTATACGTTCTTTCAAAGATTACGTGTATTGAAAATTTAAGAACGTTGAAGCGTTATTATTTAATTACTGACTTTTTTCTCCAAATGATTATTTTATTTTTTAATTTTAAATATAAAATCTCTTTTAATAAATCCTATTATATCAACGTACATACATGATACGGAAATTTACAACAAACACTCATAAAACATGTAGAAGATTTAGGATTGATAATAACAATGAAAATAACTCAGTTTAGTTTCCTATATATGAGAACACGACGTCCAAAGAAATACGAATATGAGATAAAATAAAATTTTTTAATGAGACATTCTCAAAGATTATTAATTTCAAAATATTAAATTTGTGTGATATGGTTTATTAATTTTGTGCTAAATTTTAGTTGGACGAGATAAATAAAATAATTTAATTCATCCTAACTATTAAACAGAAAGTCAATTTTTTATTCTTCTCGACGTTTCGAGATCATTTTCAAGAATAAAAAGTGTTACAAATATTTAAATTTGAGAGAGAAAGATTTTGTAGGGTTTAAAAAAAATTGTAAAATAAAAGTGTATTTTAAAGATTTGTAATTAAATAAACATATAAAATAAAAATTAAATCAATTAATAAATTTATTTATAAATTAATTTGTGTTTTTTATTAAAACAGGTAAATACAGTTGCAAGAATAATAAATACATAGCTATGGAACATTCGGATTTAGTCGCGGAGATGGTGCACGTAGAGAGGCTGACAACGCAGGAGAGGTTACATCTTGCTCGTCATCGACGACTACAACAACTAAAAGTTTGGCGTCAAAGGGAAAAGGAATGGCTGCGTCATCAGACTCGACATACGAGTAATAAACGGCACATATTTTTCAATGACAGTGTCATGTTACTTGAGGCGGCAGCAAGAAATGACATTGACGAAGGTATAGACTTTTAAAAGATAATTACAATTTAAAAATAATTTCTTTTTGCAAATATTTCCATAATTATTTATACTTATTCAATTATTGTTTTTAGTAAGGAGATTATTAAAAAAAGGAGTGAATCCGGATTCAACAAACGAAGATGGTTTGACGGCACTTCATCAATGTTGCATTGATGACAATGAAGAGATGCTTAAACTTCTTGTTGAATTTGGTGCAAATGTGAACGCCGAGGATAGTGAAAAATGGACACCATTACATGCTGCCGCCACATGTGGGCATCTTCATCTTGTCCGTTATTTAATTGCTAAAGGTGCAAATCTTTTGGCTGTGAATGCCGATGGAAATATGCCGTATGATATCTGTGAGGATGAAAAAACGTTAGATTGCATTGAAGGTATTTAGAAAATTAATTACAGTACTTTATTGTACTTACAAGAATAAATTTTTTGAAATTTAAATCAAAAAAATGCAAAAATTAACAATAACATTGTTCGTTAATTTTTAATAACAGTTGTTCGTTTTTCCTTTTGTATTCTAAAGGTGAAATGGCGAGAAGAGGAGTAACACAAGAACTCATTGACGACACAAGGGCCTCAATAGAAGTCCAAATGCTTCGAGATTTACAAAAATTAGCGTCTATGGGAAACGATTTGGAATACAAAGATCATCAAGGTGCTACACCTGTATGTATATATCAATTTTTATTTATAGAGAAAATTATAAAAAAATTATTTAAATGTTATTTAAAAAAGTCGAAAAAAACAATTTCTAAATTAAATACATCATGATAGAAATATACAGGGAAAAATTATTTTTTTTATGACGAACATTTGAAAATAAAAATCTTGAGAAAGGAAAAGAAATAAAATAGAAAGTAATTTGATAAAAGCAAATAATTTTAAAAAATTATTATTTGTAGCTTCATATAGCCGCAGCTAATGGTTACTTGCGAGTAGTAGAATTTCTTCTGGATCAACACGTTTCCACAGATATTGAGGATAACGATAAATGGCAACCAGTTCATGCAGCGGCTTGTTGGGGACATGTAAGATAATTTCAAAAAACAGAATCAATTTTCAATGGAAACGAAACAATCTAAATTTCGGTTTTTCATTTCAGTTAGAAGTTTTAGAATTATTAGTACAGAATGGAGCTGATCTCAATGCGAAGAACAAACACGACGAAACACCTGCGGGTAAAATTTACTGTTTTCAGTATAAAATAATAATTATTGTAAATTTATTAAATTATTGTTAAATAAGTAAATTCTTCTTTTAATCAAATTGGTTAATAATTCAACATTTTTTTTGTAGATATCTGCGAGGATCTTGAAATTAGGGAACGAATTATGGAATTAAAGACGGAACAGGAGAGTAAACGACTTCGTGAGGCGCAAGGTAGAAGAATACGCAGGTCGCAGAGTATAAATACACGGACGCAAAGCGTTCGGAGAACATCTATTAGAGACAAGGTTTTGACGACGAAAAAAGACGCACAAGAGGAAGCACGTCTGCGAATTCAAGCACAACAGGTAATATATTTCCAATCGTTTCCAGATAGGATTTCAAATTTTGGTAAAAAAATTTTTTTTTACTAATTAAGTATTAGAAAAAATAATAATTACAAACAGTTTTTAAAATGAAAAAACAATCTAAAAATTGACATTTCTTTTTTAAAAATAAAAATTATGAAAAAAAAATTGTCAATAAATTTTCTATATTGTAATTTTAATTTTCTAGACATATGTATCGATGACGGCACCAGTGACAAATGCACCAGCAACGGAAAGTAACGGCGAAACGAGAGAAGTTGCTGACGATGACACTGATTCGACAGTAGTTGCATCAACTGTTCGCAAAGGACCAGAGGGAAAAGACAACGATTCCTTTTTACATGAGGATGTCGATAAAGACTCAGGTATATTCCGAGGCTTCATTTGCTTGCATTGGTTGTGGTTTAGTAGGTTATTTTTGTGGTAATTGGTATAGCTTTTTGTGACAAAAAAAAAAAAATGATTAAAAATTTGTAGTTGTCCAAAATTTGTCTTCACGAGACAACCGCACAAAATATGTTGAAAGCTTATAAAAATTTTCTGACTGTTTTGAAGTACAAATAGAATTAAAAAAAAAAAAAATTTCAAAAATATTCTATTTTTTAATTTCTTTATTGAGAAAAGAAAATTTTAATATTTAAAAAAAATATATGAAACAATGTGCACAAAAAATTAGTGACAATAAATAATTTCTAAATAATAAATGAAAGTCAATAAAGTCAGAAAATTAAAATTAACTTAAGAAGACTGAAATAATAATATGTAAGTTACTATTAAAATATTGAGTTTTCTTAAGTATTTCAGTATTACCGATAGGCGGGTATATAAATCTTGAGTATAATAAATAAATTTGCTAAAATATCATTGGCTATAAATCGGGAGTAAAGTGTATGTATATCGATTCACTATTTTGTAGCAATTGCTAATGTGTAAATACATTATTGAATGCAATTTGTTAACTATCAATCATTTATCTGTATTTTTTTATTCCATTTCTGCGTGCTCCCGATAAAATGATTCTGAGGTCAGTTTTTTATGTGACTTTCCTATTTCTTTAAAACTTTTATTCAAGTTTCAACAATCGTAATCACTTCTCTTTTTTTTAAACTTGTGTAATGTGTTTTTGCTACATCAACTGACTTCTTATACGATTACAAGCAAACGCACTTTTGACATTATTCTTCTTATAATATGAAACATTAATCTTCATCACATAGGATTCTTGTTAGCGTTAGGTCTTTGTAAATTTCTTATTTCTAGTGAAAATTCAATTATTAATAATAAATAATAAATATATAATAGAAAAATAATCAAAAAGAAAAATTGTAAAATACTATAGATTACTAAATTTAGTAAAAGAAATATATATCCAGGATATAAACTTTATGATAAATTAAAGTTATTTAGAAAGGCCTAATCAATTGGAATTGATACTACAAGTAGAACATTTTACTCATTACATTTTTCTCATTCTACTTTTAATGAACTGTTATAGAAATATTACTAGGCCACATAATAATTTAAGAGAGTTTCAGAAATTTAATTTTAGGGTCTTATCAAGTCCGTTGAGTTTGATTTAAGAGAACTTTTCTCACAATTTGGCCATTTGTTGCAAAATTAAAGAAAATACTGAATCTGTTTTTATTCCAATTTTATGATGAATATCCAAAATATGAGAAAAATTTCTCTAAAATTACTTTCAATATAAAATTGAATTTCGGAACTTTCTTAAGGCATGTTTTATTAAATTCTACATAGATTAGAGTTTCTAAAAATGCCTGTATAATGACGACCAAAAAAATATTCGGGAACTTTCATATTTCAAAACTGATATAGAATTAGTTTGGAATGTTTTATAATATATTATTATATATACAAAATTTGAGAAAATTTATCATAAAGGCTTACAATTTGTATGGTGTAGATTCTCGAGCAGTTTTTTTTGTAAATTTGCTATGATATACTCTTTGAATTAATTGTATTATAGATAAAAAAAAAATGTTTATCAAGGGTTTTAATTCATTTTTAAAACATATCAGTCAAATGCTACATTGGATGGCTTCTAGTGTTTTTGTCTTATATATATATATATATATCTGATCAAGCATCCTCTACTGCATCGTTCTTATATTATATTAAAAAAAAGAAGACTTAGTACTTATAACTCGCTGCCTTCTCTCAACCTAAATGGTTTTTCGGTTTAAAATAGTTTTCTTACACTTTTCTTAATATGAACGTTCTGTTCGAAAATTAAATATTGGAAACTGTTATTGTCAGTGGTTTAATTGTGTGACGAATAATTTTTAAATTTCAATTGATAAATTTTAATTTAAATAATTAAATTAATTAATTCTTAAAATTAAAATTCCCAACTTGGAACGGATTTAAAATTTAATTTTCAATTAAAATAATATTTGTTCTTAATTAGATAATAAGATTTTAGTAAATATTAGATTTTTTATTTATAGCAACCCATGAATATTATTCTTATTCACATTATGCATATTTTTTGTCTTTACAGTTTAAAATTGTGCCTTTTTTTACTACAATTTTAAATTGTAATAAAAATTCTATTTTTCAAGACTGCTCTCACTTGCGAATGTTTGTGTCAAAATCAAACGCTGCAATTTAGAAAGAATTCAAAGAAGAAATTCTTAATTTATTTCTATTTCCAGTATTAAGATTTTAACAGAGACTGAAACAAATGAAAAATTATTGTATTATAAGCCTGAATTCTCAATTTTTTAAATATATTGTTTTTCTATACTCACTCAATGATTCCACTGTTAGTGCATGACGCAAAAAAAAGTAGTAGTTTTTTAATGGGATAAAAGCAGAGTCGCGCGTAAATTGTTTTTTTGGCAAGAGAAAAAAAAGTAAAGAAATGCATGATAATGGGCAGGAGAAGGTGAAGTTAAAAAAAAAAAAAAACAAGATCGCATTTAGTCAGTAGAGAGACAATGCAGGTAAAAGGATAGCTTTAGATTTACATGTTTGCCTCGGCAGTCGCAGGGCCTGACCCGCCTGTCGGTAGCCAGCAGCCAATTTATACAACAGACAACGATGCTAATGGCAAGATCAACATACACGTGTCTGTAGTTTTCGTCAAGTCGTTGTCGGACCTGAAGAAACAGAGGGCCCAGAATCGACATTCAACCAGCAACACACTTGATGCCAATGGTAATGGAGTGTCAGTACCAGTTTCCACCATCGACAATCCTGAAATGAAATCTGATGACTTCCAGAGATTCAGAGGTAACACCAGCGAGATCCTCGGGGATAATAATTCCGAAAAGAACTGCTGTCTCGTTATGTAAGTCTTTTAGTATTTATATTTAAATAATTATTATATGCTGTTCTTGCGAATTCAGTGCATGCTATACTCGAAGTCCTGTACAGTTAAAAAGAATAGCTTTTACTCCGAGAAGTATTGCTCTTTGCACTATAAAAAAAAATTCAGGGCGCTTAATTATTTTCTACTCGAATTATTCATATTTGACAACTTTATATATCTTTTATTTATGTAATTTTTGAATTACATAGAATATACATTATCATTTAATGTACATTAATTTTATTATTATTATTATTATTATTATTTAATTAATTAATAATATTATTAAATAATTCAAATCGACAAAAAAGTTTGCAATTGAAATAATATTATTAATTAGAAACATAATACAAACAAAATAATGGATAATAATAAGAAAATACAATTTTCTAATTGTATGTAATTTCTAAATTACATAACTCTTTAATTTTTATTTTACATCATTTTTCGTTTACGTAATTCTTTATTTATTGAGATAATTTTTACTTTTCATAATTTTGATTTTTGAAGTTAAATGCGCTTCTTTTTTGGTTTTTTAAAATAACATATAGAAAACATATATTTTTTTAAATGCACTTTTTATTATTATTTTTCCAGAAATAATGGAATATTTTTTTCTCTTATTTATAAAATAGAAAAACAATTTTATTTAATAAAGATAAAACAAATTAAAATATATTTGTTGTCATTTTTTTCGAAAAATATAATATTGTTATAAAAGTGTTAGAGAAAAAACTTTTCGGAGATGTGTAAACTGAAAACAAATAAGTTTAGAATTGTATTTAATAGAATTCTAATTGTATAGAAAAAAAATGAAAGAAAAGTATTACTGTGTTTTCAAAAAAAAAAAGAAAAAAGGTTGTGAGGAAAAAGTACTTAAGTGCCAGCGCAAGTCTTCTATTTATAAGTACTATATATATTTGTTAAAATTATAAAGAAGAAAAGGTGGATGCAATTTTTTATTATTGTAATAATAATAATAGATATGTGGTATAATTGCTTGACGAGATAAATCCACATTTTGTATTACTATTAATACGTAAAGAGATAGAATTTAAATTATTTATATTTTTTTCTCGATGAAAATGGTTCATAGTTGTATATATAATTTTATTTTATTTATTATTACCATCATCATTATCATTATCATCATCATTGATGTAATTGTGTTCTAATGTATAGATGATACAGAATTTTATCAACATATTTAATTTATTTTTTTTTTGCGTTAGCATTTATTTAAAAAAAATTAAATTTATATAATTTTATTTTGTCCAAATATTTCTGTCAAACAAGAAAAAAAACATTAGAATTTTATTCAGAAATTAAAAAACTATGAAATAGTTTAGGTTATCATTAATGAAACAATTAAAATTAAAAAATATCTCGTTTTATAAAGACTATTAAAAAATTAATTGATTTCATTTTATATACATACCAGTTTTATCAGAACAATTATTAAGCTGATATTGATTTTGAACTGTTATTGAACCACAATATTTTGAAAAAATATATAGTCTTTATTATTATTAATTAAGCTATTATTAGCTTTTTCTAAAATTTTATTTAAAAAAAAGTACTATTGAAAGTTTTTTGAAAATGAAACATTCCTATAAAACAGAAAATTTTATTTTAAAAAGAGACTATATCTACAAGTATTCTCGTTTTGATAAAATATTTCTGTAGATTAAAAGCTCAAAGCCTAATAGTGATTATTGATACATTCCTTATAAACACCTATAGTGTACGATATAGTTACAATTTAGCACATAATTCTTAAGACAACTTCAAAATCAAAATTTACCGTTTTTACTTGAACTATATATATATATATCTCGATATATACTTTTGCACAAATGATTTTTTATTTAATATATAATGCACATAGTGGAAAGCGATTGCTCATAATTATGGCAATGAAAATGAAACTTGAATTTCTACAAAAGTTAATATTGGTACTTGCTGCTATACATATTAAATATTAATATAATGGAAATTTTTTTTTGTTTGATCGCGAGCGAACAAGAATAATAAAAAATGCCAAGTAAATGTGGAATACCATGCCAACATTGTGATCGACGAGTGTACGAACTTGTATTTTTATAGAAGACATTTTAGAACTAGTATTTTAAAAAAAAGTTGAGATTTTATTCTTTTAACAGCGAATACTGCAAAAAGTTAAAGCGCAGTGAATTTTGAATATTTTACATCTAATTGATTTTGAGTCAATTCAATACTATAATAATTGAAATAGAAATTACTATGGCCTTATATTTTAATTGTAAATTATTTCTTTCTTAGCACGCTTTTCTTAAATTAATTAATTAAAATGCATACACACCAAAACTTGGCCAAAAACTGAAATTTTACTGCCAGGTAATAAAGAGAAAAAAGAACTATATATTCTGTAGCGAATTATATACATATATGTCAGAATATCAAGTACTTTCTAATGCTCTAAAAAAAAAAATAGAAATATTTTTCATCTTATTAAATTTTATTCAATCTCGTTTACTCCGTCAAATCGCAACGAAGCAGATTTATTATTAAAAAAAAAAAAATACTTTTGTCACTTTGATAATAGACTCTAGAAATTCGTCCATTAGCTCTCGTAGAAAATGTGTTTTAATTATCGGGCAAATATAATAAGCTTATTGCAATAGTTAATACTTAAGAAATAAAAAAAAGAGACTGCGAATTTATTTAGAATATTGTCGTAACATTTGTGTGTCAAGTTTTTGTCATCTCTGGGGCGACACTTAATTAAAGTTTCTTTTAATTTTTTTTTTCGAAATTTACATAAAAAATAATTATTGTTATCTCTTATCAATTAAATTGATAAGTATATTGAAAAAAAGTTAGATATAAAAAATATTTTTATAACAAAAATTCTAAATTGAAATTTTAAATATAACAATTAAATATTTCAAAATTATAATATATTAGGTCTAAATTTTGAAAAGTAAGAGGCATTATGATATTTTTTTATTTAGTTTTAAAAATTTATGATAATTGGTCATGTGTTCAAATTGAATATTTAATCGGGTATATTGTATGTCCAAAATGGACTTGAAAAAAAATTTTTTTAGTGAAATTTGTATTAGCTATTGAAATTATAAAGGAATGTTTTTAAAAAACAAATTGTGATAATGAAAAATGATATAGAAGACAATTCTTTTTTTAATTCAATGAAAAAAAAAAAAATGTCAAATATATAAAAGTATCGCCCCAGTTTAGAAAAATGTTTATTATAGATTGAGAATATATGTTTTTGAATTAATTATAAATATATGTGCATTTAAGAAAATTGAAATTAGAAAAAGTATCTATATCCGATCATTCGCATCATTTATTGTATACGCGTGTTTAATTTTGAACAAGTTGCGAGAATTAAATGGTTCTGTAAATTTACAAATTCTACCACTATTCATTCATTTTTTTATACTATTATAATAATGATTAATCAGTGCCATCATTATCTCAATTTTCTGACAATAAATCAATCTTCCACTAAAAAAATCAAAATTTCTCAAAAAACACTTTCACTATTTTATCCTCGCAACTTATCATCCAAGATGATGCCAAAAAAGTCTTTTTTTAAAAATATATTATATTTTAAGATATCAGGGTTGGAGAATGAAAAAATTCCGAAATTAAGAGCGAATTATTTGAAATTTTTTAATTATTAAATATAAATTGTCAAATTTTTAATCGTTATTTAATAATTTTAATTACATTTATATATATTTATTTAGAATATATATTTATTGGTATTTTTAGTCATTATTTCGAGAGTTCTTTTTATAAATTAGTATAAATAATTAATTAATTAATAAGTAATGCCAATTTTTTGAGTGATATCCAACTCTGATTTTTAGTCATCGAGTGGATATTATACTTGATGATTAAAGCGGTCATAGAAATTTCATTAATATTGAAGAAAGCATCCAAATTGACTAATTTTTTTTTTTTTATTTAACTTTATATGAAAATTTTTATTCAGAAAAATTATTTTTCTTCTCTTTCTTCAGTATCGTGTAAAAATCTGTACCTGTGTTTAGCACGGACTGACTGCATTTCACAATTATTATTATTATATATTTACTTATAACGTATTGTATATATTACTGTGCATTCTCTATAATATATTATATACCAAATATTCTGAAAAAAGGTCTTTTTATTAATTCGTTTCTTTTTTTTTTTGAACAATTACAGTTTCTCAAAGGTGAAAATATAGACCATGAAATTATTTATAGACTTCTGGTATATTTATAAATGTATGTACCAGGAGTCTAAATGCATGAACAAATTTTTTTTCTAGTTATTATTTATTTGTAGCTTAGAATTAACGAATTAATGTAAAAAAATTATATTATTCTTCAGGTCAAGATCTGTATCACAATTTGTACAAGTGAAGAAGCTACGACACATTTCGTTACTTTTCAAATAGAATGTCCTCTTACATACATTGCAAATGCTGGTCAATTTACTAAAATTTTTTGCTTGATATACGCTCGTTAATTCTGTTTTTTGAAGCAAAAGATTTGGATGTCTTTTCATAAAAGAATAATACCAATCTTTAGATGCTTTTTCGTCTTTATTCCAACTATCTGGATGATGAATAGCACATTTTTGTGCATATTCATATGCCAAACATCGAATATTACTGATGGTGAGACCATAATTGAGCTTGGAAAATTCAATGATATAATCCAGTAATCCTAGCTCTTGATTCTTCGTAAAAAGCTGCGGAAAAAATTAAAAAATTAACACAAAATTTAACAGAAATTAAAAAAATATATTAAAAAAATTTGAAATTACCGTCTTTCCAGCTTGATGTGTTATTTCTTTCAAATAATTTTTTAATTGATCATCGGTGACAGTGGAGAAATCTGGAAATTGCAGTGACACTTTTTTAACATAGCGACTAAGACTTGTTTGGCTAATGCCATAACTTGAAGCAACCGAACGTCCTGATTTATTTTCAATTTTCACCAATTTTATGGCTTTCACCAAATTATCATAATCAATTTGTCTATCAGCATATTTTTTTATATAATTGCGTGTCATAATGATTGTAGCTGTGAAGTAAATTTAAAAAAAAAACTAATATCCACGTGTGTATTTCAATATGAAACATGAAAATATGACGTCAGATGAATGAACCACTCCATACCACTAAAGTCATTTCACGAATAGATATTTTCAAGTTATATTATGATAAAATTGTAATTTGTCGAGAATTTATTGTACTTTATTTCAAAATTTTTTTGAAATTTCTTGGGATTTATTCAGAAGATCAGTTTAATTACTTAAAAAATCAGCGTCGTCTAATCTAAATTTACAAACAAAATAAGCCCGCAGTGAGTAACTACACATCGCGAACCACTCCATCCCACCATATTCTATATACAGGGTGAACATTATTTTTCGGATCCTTAACAAAAATTTTTTTCAATTTTTTTTTATGTTCAGAAAACGAAAAAAAAAATTTTTAAAAGATTAATAACAGTGATAAATAATTGGTTAATTATAATAGATTAAATTTTAAAATTAAATTATTAGTTAATTATAATAATAAATAACTAATTAATTATAACAATAAATAACTAGTTAATTATAAAAAAAAAATTATTATTGAAATAGATTTTTAAAATTATTTTATAAATAGAAAATTGAATTTATAATTATAAATTGGAATTATAAGATCATTATTGTTCTTAAATTTAGAATTTTTGTAATTGAATAAAACGATGAAAATTTCAGTGTAATTGTCTCTTTTGGCAATCGACGAAGGTGTTCACTTTCATATAATGAGTACAATTCTCCTTTATAACTATAGCACAAACAAGAATGCTACATAACTTTTGCCATTGACCTAGAAGCACTTGAGATCGTTGTGTAGTTATCGCATTGATCGTTCTCTACATTGAAACGCGGATATTTCATGAAAATTACGCGTTACTTTTGGGTTCAAATTTAATGTTAAAATATTTTTGAAAAAATAAATATTCGCAGATGATAATTGTTAAAAATATTCTCTATATGAATATTAAGAAAAAAATTTGATATTATTAGGAAAAAAAAAAAATTTTAAAAACTGTGAGTGTAAAATTGTATAAATTTATCTTTACTTGAGTAGAGAATTTAAGTACGATCGAATAATATACAAGAAGCCAGGAGAAAATTGAGAAAAAAGGTTCGGAAATTTTAATTAATTATATTATTTTTGTTGCAGAAAATGGAAGAATAAAATTTTGAAGATATATAAATCAATTTTTAAAGGTTTCTTTAATTATTATAGGTTTTAATGAATCCAATGAGTTGTGTTATTTTTTTTAATTTTGATTTGAGATGAATGGTCTCTGAGTGTAATATTGCCACAAGGAAGATTACATCAGGCGAACGACCAATTGATGTTATTTAATCAAATAGGAAACACTTGTGCCTTTTTCTGATGCAATATAACGGGCCAATTTGCTAGTGGTTTTCATTGTGAATATCATATTCAATTGTTTCTACAATATGAATGCTTTTAGAATTTTACAAAAAGCTGGATCTACTTCTAATAGACGAGGAAATCGATTTTTTAAAAGACCTCATTGCTCCGCTAATTGGGTAAGTTTATAATTTATCATTTACGTCATTTTACAATACTTCCTCAATTTTTTATCAGATTCTAAGAAAAAAAAATTTTTTGTTTCAGGTATGTTGAAAATTGATTTCAAGACAAAAATTTATACAGAAAAAATTTTATAGGACAAATAAGTTTGCAAAAATGAGGAAATATTTTTCTTACAGCGTTTTGGAATTTAAAATCTGAAAATTTCTAAGATTTACTGAAAATCTCGATTAGCGAAATGATTAAAAGTCTGATTTTAAATTAATTGTAAATTTTGGCTTTTAAAAAATTTTTTCCCTGATTTGGAGAGATTGAAAAACGGCGAATTCACTCGTTTTTGAATGGATTTTTTCTGATAAAAATTGTCGTAGTTACAGGCTCTGTTTATTTTGGTAATTTAAATTTATTCGTTTAGAAACAATAGTGATTTAACATTTCAATGTTGCCGAGTACTTTGATAGCGAATATTAATGTAGCGTTTATAAGATAATAACTAATCTTGCCACTTCATAAAGTCATAAAGCAATTAGTTCTTTCAAGATTCTAATAACGTTTTCGATAAGTTTTTTTTTATAGGTCAATGAATTTTTTTCCTAGTGTCAATATTTGATACATATATATATATATCGATAAATTAATTTACATATGAAAATGTTATTACATTTTTTTTCCTCATATTTTATTTTTTTTTCATTTCTATTTTCGTACACTTAATTTAAATAACTATTCAAATTTTTTAATGTAATTCAAATACAACTAAAATTTTAGTATTTTTTATTTTTGAAAATTTACAACAAAAAATGTTTTTTTTAAATGAAGGCAAAGATTATTCATTGTTTTTATCCATGATTCAAAATTAGAATGACTGGTAGTTTTCCTTGAAATATTGAACGTGATACTTGACAATTTTCACTATTGTTTTATTTTTTTTCTTTATATTTTCGATAAGAAGTCAAAAAAAAGGAATCCGAAAGTTAAATAGTGCAAATCTAGTCTAGCTAGAATTTATGAGTATTCGTATATACATATATCAATAATAATTGTATAGGGGAAAAAAGAATAAAAGAAAGAAAGAAAGAAGTGATTCTAAAAAGGAAGAAGAAAATCCAACTAACTTGACCCTCATTTCACAAAATCTTAATTGGAGGGGATAAGTGTTGGTAGTACTTAAAAACTGGAGCCTCTCACTTTGAATTCAGTCTTTTGCGCTTCTCTTCGATGAACGAATACATAAATTCTCTTGCAAACTCATAAAGCCTCGTGATTTTTTTTTTTAAACAAATTTTTCAATTTCAAATTTTTAGTGCGTTTATCAGGTAAATTAATTCTTTCATTAAATTGTAATTTATGATTTTTATTTGAAATTATAGTTTTTAAATGAGAAATTCTTACTTTTTTTTCTTATTTATTTATTTATTTTTTAAAATAATGTAAATATGAAATTTTTCTAACATTGTGTTTATAAACGTAATTTTTTAAACTTTATATCAATTTGAGATTTTAAAAAATTTTGTCATTTACAGAAAATGCCTGGGCAATTGGAAGAAGTCAAGGGGAAGCGAGCAACTTTTGGCATGGGTTGCTTTTGGGCGGGAGACTCTTTATTTGGAGCAACACCTGGTGTAATTCGCACTTGCGTCGGTTATGCTGGTGGTAGCAAGGAAAATCCAACCTACAGAAATATGTAAATTTTGATTTTTTACTAATTCGTTTTTCTTTTTAAGAAATTTTAATTATGATGATGTAATTTATTTATACAATTCTTATTCAAATTGCAATCTAGAAATTTATTAATATAAAAATGTATTTAAAGTATTTATTTGAATCGAATTTTATTTACTTTTTTATTTATTTTTACTATTATGATAGTTTAAAACTTCTCTTTTACATATTAAAATATGAATTTTATGAAAAAAATGTGATTTTTATTATACTAAAGTGATTTAATTTTTATCTTTAGTGGAGATCACACGGAAGTCATTGACATTGAATATGATCCTGAAATCATTTCGTTTTGTCAGCTTCTTCATTTATTCTGGAACAATCATGAATACGGTTTAACTAGAAAAATTAAGACCCAGGTAATTGATGAAACTTTCTTTTAATTAATTTTCAAAAATTTTTAACGAATTCTTTAAATCAATTTTAAAAAAGTGTTTTTTATTTATATATTTTAAAGTACCAATTTTTAAGGCATAAATAAAATTAAATATTATTAAATTAAAATAAACAATTGCAGTTTATTATTGTGTAATTAATAAAATTTAATCATAATGTAAATTAAAATAAATAATTTAAGGCTTTTATTCTTTATAAATGTTAGACAACATTTTTTTCATAAATTGCATTCGCAAATGACCGATAAGAAAAGACTTGAAAATTTCTACGTCTTTCTGTATAAAGTTTCTCTTTTTTTTCTTATATTTTCTATTTTATCATTTTCAGTACATGTCATTGATTTTGTACCACGACGAAGAACAGAGGATATCAGCTGAAAAGTCACGAGACCACGAGCAAAGAGAGCGTGGCGAACAATTGATAACTAAAATTAAGGAATTTCAAAAGTTTTATCCAGCCGAAGAGTGAGTATATTCGATTTTCTAAGAATAGATATATAATTCTTTGTTGTCTTAATTAAAGTTCATTGAGTACAAATTATATATCTTTTGTTTCCTGATTGATAAATGAAATATTTACGATTTAAAAAAAAGTCAATTTTTAATTGTTACAAGCAAAATTAAATTTTTTTTTTTATCTAAATGACAAACAAAATTAGAAATTGCGACGTAAAAAAAATTATTAGTTAAAATGTTATGTAAGTGTAAAATAAATGCAATCAGGAAAGACAAGTTTTTCAATTTATTTCTGGTTTAAATTTTTTAATAAATTAAATTAAATTCTGTAATTTTAAATCACGTGTTTCACTCGTAGTTCTATATATAGAGATTATAATCATATTCAAAGCGATTGATGAATATTTCTTGTGACTGGAAGATATGTAAAGAATTATCTAAATCTGACATTGACTTATTGCGCGTTCTTTTCCCGCATACTTAAATTATTCTCGTCAGGTTGTAATAGTAGAGTTATGGAATGTCAATGACTCATTAAAATTTTTAATTTGTAAGAATTCTTTAATGAAAAACAATAATTTTTTTCAATTGATAGCTTCTTATTATTATTTTTAAGGAAAATTGAATTTTTTATTTAAGCAATGCACATTCTTTATTAATTAAATAGCTATTTTCTTTGTCTAATTGCAGCTATCATCAAAAATATCGATTGCAAGATCATCCATGGCTTCTTGAAACTCTTGGAATTACAAATTCAGAATTATTAAGAACATCGCCAATTGCGGCAAAACTTAATGGATATTTAGCTGGTGCAGTGTCTTACGAACAATTTAAAGAAGATCTACCACGACTTGGTTTTAGTGAAAAAGTAGTTGAATACGTTAGCAAAATTGTTATTGAAAAACAAAATAGTGGCTTATACTGTTAGCATATTTATGTGCAAATTATGTCCACCAATTTTGTTTTAATTACTAATACGACGTAGGCAAATTCCGAATTCTTTTCAATATCGAATTTTTTGCCTGATTACATTTTAATTCGAAAAATGTTGTGAGTAGTGGAGATATCTTTATATTATTAGTAATTAATTCCAGATTACGTATTTTAGAAATAAAGGAAATTTAATATTTTGTCAATAAAGATATCTTACTGCGTAAAAAACTTTAAAAATAAATTATCAATAAATCGAATAGTATTTGAATAGGCATCTATGTAATTGATATAGATTGCTTCATTTAGCGATCAAGATAATAGAATTTAGAAACAAAAAAAGAAGATATAATCTCTTTGATTATGTCTTTTGTTTTTAAATGATTGGTAGTTGAACCAATGATGATAATAAATATAATTCATTTTATATCTAATAGTTTAATTTGATTAACAAAAATTCTTACCTGATTTCAGATCTTAATTTTTCTATACAAGTATCTCAAATAAATTTTTTAATTATTGATTGAATTAATAAGAATTTATTTTATAGTATACAAATAATTCTTCAGTTTTTTCAGCATTAATTATTTCTTATAATCAGTGAATCGTTTTCTTATTTATTTTACTAAAATTATATTTTAACATCAAAATAATTAATCAAATAAAAAGTGATTAAATTTCTCATTAGTAATATTTATAATTCTTTTATTCCATATGTTAATTTACGTCAAATTAAAAATTATTTTTTATTTGATCCATCAGTTAGATTTAGAAATGAAAAACATAATTAATTAAAAGTAAAAAAATATTTTATTTTAAAATAAATATTTATTTCTAATTAGAATATTAATAATAATAATAATAATAATAATAATAATAAAATTATTAATATTACTTTTCAATTTGTCTATAAAATTATTCCTTTTAATTTGCGAACATTTTGAATTTTTTTTTCTTTATGTTGGTGAGCTGTGAAATTTTTCCTAAATTCTAGGTTGGTAGCACTGTCATCAGTGAGAGGAGACCCTTCAAGTGAAAAGACGTTATGCTGTTCAGCTCTTCAGTTTTTCTTTTTAAAAGGTAATATTTTTATTGTTTTATTCATAAAAATGATGAATTATAGTAATATTGTTGATTAGAAACTTTTGTTGTCTATGCAAATTCAATATGACGTCCCAATTATTGTTGTTAAACAATTTTTATTGAATATTTGAATACATAATATAGTCGAAATATCTATTTTTATAGAATAATTGGCAAATTTTAATAGCATTTTTACTAGAAGTTCGCTTTTTTTGAAAATATTTGGTCAAAAAATATAGATTAATATTTTTTGTTTGTTCATAAAGGTTAATTAAATTTATGTGATTAAATTTTTTTACTTTGTCTTCAATTTTCCGTTTTTATTTGTTAACATTTTGAATCTTTTTTTTCCTTATGTTGGTAAGCTAGAAAATTTTTCCTAAATTCTAGGTTGGTAGCACTGTCATCAGTGCCATTAAGAGGAGATCCTGCAATTGAGAAGACGTTATGCTGTTAAACTCCTCAGTTTTTCTTCATAAAAGGTAATATTTCTGTTGTTTTATTCATAAAAATGATGAATTATAGTAATATTGTTGATTGGCAATTGTTTTCTCGAATAATTTTGCCCATTATATAAAATTAAAGTTGGATTTTCTTGAAATTCGCCCAACTATGGTCTATGTAAATTCAAGATGGCGTCCCACTTATTGTTGCTAAACAATTTTGTTGAATACATTATACAATCGAATTATCCATTTTTATAGAATAATTAGCAAATTTTAATAGCATTTTTATTAGAGATTCCATTTTTTCAAAATAATTTATCGCAAAGTATAGATTAATATTTTTGTTTTTTTTATAAGGACAATTGAATGTAATTAAATTTTTTTACTTTGTCTTCAATTTTTCGTTTTTATTTGCCAAGTATTTTGAATCTTTTTTTCCTTATGTTGGTAAGTTGGGAAATTTTTTATAAAATTCTAAGTTGGTTGCACTGTCGCCAGTGGCATTAAAGTGAGATTCTTCATGTGAAAAGACATTTTCCTATTTAGCTCCTGGATTTTTGTTCAGAAAGGGTAATATTTTAATTGTTTTATTCATAAAAATATTAAATTTTGGTAAAATTGTTAATTGAAAATTGTTTTTTTGAATAATTTTTGTCGAATATATAAAATTAAACTTGAATATTCATTAATTTCATTCGACAATGGTGATACTTGGATTCAAGATGGCGCCCTGATTGTTGCCATCAAAAGTAGTTTCCTCAATTACCTAGTCTTAATACGATCGAAATATTATTTTCTTTAAAATAATTATCTAAAATTTTCAGTAGCATTTTCGATAGCGATTTATTTTTCTGAAAATATTTTCTCGAGAAATGTAAATTTACTGAAATATATTGAAAAAAATTAGTCTATTCACGTCGATGCTACGTATTTCTGTTGCGTCAAAAGTGTCGGAGAGGTTGTTAAAATTTAATAATGTTGATAGAAATTCTGCTTTATATAATTTTACTAAAACGGAATACTTATTCACTATTGGCCAATACTTATGTAAAATCGGTGGTAGTCATTTCAATATGGCGTCTGTTTATCCTACAGTCTTTTAAACGCCCAGTGCAGTGACATGAGTTTCTTCATCAAGTTATTTTCCAGTTTTAACAAACTTTGTGATTTTCAAACATAAATTTTGGGAGATATAAAAATTTTATATAGAATTTTCATCCGTTTTAATCATTACTCTGCTTATTGCCTTTTGGCGTTGTCGACTTTATTATAATAAAACAAATGTATTCATGAAATCTTATTTTACTGAAAGTGTTTCTAGAAATGCATTTTTACAAATATGTGAGTATTTTTTATTTGAAATTTGACTTTAGCTTATGTATTGAATCTTTTCGGTTTTTATAATTTTATGGTTATGTTCGTTCGCTGAGTTAATTCTATGTATTGAAGAAACGTGCATGCAAAGATATTAAATACAAATTTGGTCAGAATTGGAATTATTTGTCATAAAAAAAATTCTTAGAAAAAATCATCTGAATTCGTTTCAAACATTTCGAATATTAATTAATTTGTCAACTTCAATCAATTTTTACATTATTTTGTCAGATGCACTTGATGGCTTCTGGCTAATATGTAATATTTATTAATATAAATTTTTAATCGAATTAATTATTTTTTGTTTTTGTTTTTTTACAGTGCAGTGTATTCGAAGTGTTAAATCCAGAAAAACAGGATGCGAAAACCCGACTGAAAAAACTGTTGATGTGAAACCGTTTGTTTGCCTCTTGTCGTCCTCGATATCAACCAACAAGTAATTTTCAAATTTTTTTAAATCTATCACAAAAAGCGTCTGATGATGATTTTTTTGTAAACAAGTGAATATATATTTGCCAGTTAAGAAAGTTTGAATTTGGGCTTTTCTTGACATTACAAGCCTATAAATATTTCTATAATGTTTACTATGATTTATTAAAATATCTTGCTATTGGATGAAGTTGTACAAATAGAATACAATAATATCAACATTTTTTTTATTTCATTGGTAATAGTTACAAATTCTTCTATTATCAGTCGCTATGTGATTTTTTTTGTATCTTGAACAAATTTTTTATTTCGAAAATATTTATACATTGATAATTTGCATTCTTTTATATAATAGATAAAATTAGACCGCGTTGATTAATTTTTTACTCTTTTAATTTGAAATAAGAAATCTTTCACTAATATTTTTTGTAATACAAATGTGTAGAACTTTATTCTAAACAAAATATTTTTCTCAACATTTTTATTACAATAATAAATCAGTAAATCTTTACTATTTCAAATGAAGTAAAAATTCGTCTCAAAATTAAAATTTATTTGCATATTTTGGAAATATTTTAGAGCTTAAAAAAATAAAAATCTCGTTTATAAGAAATTCGAAGTTTTCGTATAATATTAGACCGTGAATTAAATATTTTTTTTACTATTTTACTCTAAATAAATCGGAAAATAGTCGCTAATTGGTAATATTTCTCAGTTATTTCTTCATTATATGTAACATACGTAAATTTATTACCACATTCTACAAACTTTTACAACGCTTAAATATGTTTGTGTTTACATTACCATCAGAGTTACAGTATACATATATATATTTATGTCTTGTTTAGTTTTTAGGTTAGGTCATGAATGACGTTTATATTCTCGTATATAAACAAAAAACATTTAGTATTATTTTAAACGTTTTAAACAATTTTAAAGTCGATTATATTTAAATTATATTTAAATTTAAATAGAAAAGATGTAAATTCAGAAAATATTATATATAAAACAAATAACTGAGAGTAAAAAACAATAGAGATTATAATAATCAGAAATTTTTTTCTGAAAAGTATGTATATGCAGTAAAAACAGAAAATATATAGTGAGATTTTAATTCATAAAATAACATCAGGGGATGTTTAATTGACAAAATTAAAAGTGTGCCCTTGAATTTATCTCGAGCGATTTCAAAACAATACGTAAAAATTTGTATGCATATACAAATCACCGACGATTTTCATATTCATAATTTGATAATTACATTGTTTTATCTTAAGAAAAAATCGTGATATATAGTGTTCTTTTCTATATAAAATTATTAAAAGATATCACGCGTATATCAAAATTGGATTAAAGTAAAAGGTAAGTGAAAATTTGTTAAATTGATATATTTTTAGGTTAGAAATGAGAATGTTAATATGTAATATAGTTTTATATAATTTATCCGGTATAATTATTTATTGATGCACTTATAGAACAAGTATGGATTACTCAATTAAATCGCAAGAATTTAATACAAATTCTCCCGATGGTACTGATTATCGAAAGGTCGTTAAGAACATATTATCTCAGAAAATTTTTATCGGCGAATATGTTGCGAGACGTTATGTGGAGCATTTACAAGAGTATAGGTAAATTTAAGTTAAATGATTTATCACAATTTTATTTATACAATATTATTTATTAAAAATAGAATTTATAATTTTTAAAAATTTATTTACAGGGATATTGTTATATGTAGAGACAGTGAAACGGAGGTAACACGTTTTGTTCAACAGATTCAGAAGCAGATAATTGCCGAATATGGAGACAAAAAATGGCTTGGAATTACAAGTAAGGTATAAAGTCAAAGAAATTGTATATTATAAATTATTTAAATTTTTTTTATGTAGAAAATACTGAAACTCCTGATTTATCTGGATATGCTTTTTGGTGTACACTGGAAAAACTACCGTTTGGAAAACATTGGTTTCAAGTCCGCTCTTTAAAAATTAAAGACAAAGAAGTATTTCTACAATTAAAATATCTTCGACCTTTCCAATCTGACGAACAAAAGAAAGACATTGTTGAAGATTTTATAACTCCAAATTTCAAAGAGGTTACTTTTATAAAATTTTGAATAATTATTTTTCATTATTTTTAACAAAATTCTTATAAATTTCATTTATATTATTCTTCATTTTTGTAATTAATATTTATATATTTTCGTTTTAGATATGTACTTTTGAAAATCTTTGCGAAGCTTCAAAATTTAGTATGGTGTTGTTTCTCACAATTACAACGTGTTTATTAAAGGGTGGTGCTTTTCTTCTAGACTTTTTGGTGAAAGTGATTCATGAATTATCATTTTTAGTTCAATCATTTACACCAATTGCATTAGCACTGATAAATACCATAGCAAAATGTATTGGAGGATTTTATTGGCTGATATATATGCTTTGGAAGGGAGAGTCATCGCCTGTACCAATTAATAGAAATCAACTTGCTTTAATGAGTCCATCAATGCCTGTAAATCGAGAACATATGATTAATAATTCTATGTCAAATTCGTATTACCGACCAAATAGAAAATCATGGGATAGTCGACGGTCAAGTGGAAATCGGTGGTAAAAAAAAGTATTTCTGAACCAAATTTAAGTTAATTATACAAATGTGTAATTAAGTGATTATACAATAATGCATAATGCAAATAGGTTTTCTGTAAATTCTCTATAATTTACAAGAAATGTAAAAAGAAGTATTTAATACTTGTATAGCATGAAGAACTAAAATATTTTCTTAAACTATGATAAAGAAATTATTAGTAATATATTCATCATTTCGTTAAAGTTTGTATTCTTTAAAAATTTTAACGTATTTAGTTTTCTTAATTATCATCAATGATCAAGAATCATTGGAGTTAAAAAAATCAGTTTTAGATTTCACTTGACTCAAATATTGTTTTCCTTTAAGTGGATACAGATCAAACTGTTTTAAACATGTGATTTAAAATTTTATAAAAACGAAAGTAGATTTTTTAAATAGGAATATAATCTTAAGTTATTATTTTGTAAATACCGAGTAAAATGTATTTCATTAATTGAATAAATAAGTGTTCTTTAATAAGATTTTATTATTAACGGAATATCAAACGGAAAAAATTGTTTAATACGATGTTCAAAAAATTCTGGACCTTTGAATATTAATTCAAAAACAAAATTACCAGCAATTATAATCAATAAGAAGGAATGATTTATTTTTTTACAACCACTGCTTTAGAACTAGACTTCTGATATAGTTTACATTTTATAGAAGTTATATAGTAATTTGTTGATATTTAAAGCTTTGAATTTGTATCAATTTTAAGTCAGTTTTTGGTGATACCGATAACACCACATGCCAAACGTGCACCAGCGTTGCCAGTGGTTTTTGATAATTCGTGTCCACCTTTGCCCAAGTCATCAGGGTCACCGTGAACCTATTTTTTTTTTTAATAACAAAATTATAATTAATTTCTGATTAATTTAAATTCTTAAATATTGTGAACGTTAAAGTCTCTTACAACAAGTGTTCTTCCAATTATGTTGTTATTCCCCTTGAGTTGAATTTGTTTATCGGTTATGTTGACTTTTGCAACACCATCGCCGCTTGCTTCTACGTTTCCTAAGTCACCTACGTGACGAACAGAATCAGTTGGTCCACCATGATCCATTCCAGATGGATTGAAATGTGGTCCAGCACTTGTGCAACCTGCGAATTTCAATGATCATTTAATGATCACTTTATATTTGCTTTTTCTGAAATAATTTTCAGTACATAAAAAAAAGTTTGGTTAAATTAATCAAAATTTTTTTTCGTCAATTTTACAACATTTAGTTGATTAAAAAAAAATTTAGTTGATATACCGTTTTTTTCTCTTCTGTTTAAAAATATTACACTTGATTAGAAACATAATTATGTAATTTCTAAAAAAAAAATTTGTGATAGAAAATTATTCTGAAGGTTTATAGGTAGATTTTTCTTCAAAGAACTCGATTTTTCATTATTCTATTTTGATTCTCAAAGCTTTGTCTTTAATAAATCATAAAAACTTGGTATAATTTCAAATCCCATTTAATAAAATGAAACAATTGTTAGTTCTGATATTTAACTTTGTTAGAAATTGTCACAAACAATAATGAGAACATGAATAGTATATTGTGAGCGTCAAGGTTCAATTGTTATGAAACATTCTCAACATTCTCGAGTACTTTTCTAATTTTATTACGAATATTTTCAACAAAATGCATAGAATTGTGCAAATAATTAATCAAAATAGATAAGATAAGTTAAAAGAAATCTCACCATTGGTATTATCACCAAATTCGTGGATGTGAAAACCGTGTAATCCTTTTTTTAATCCGGTAACTTCACCGGTGACCTTGACAGAATCTCCCTGTGAATTGAAAAGATTTTTTTTTTTAATAAATAAAGTAACAATTGATATTACTCTAATGCACTTTTAAAAATTTATTTTTCTATTATAAAAATAAAACATACAGATTCTTCAAAAAATACGGTTCCTTTGACCTCTCCTTGTAGAACACAAACTGCTTTAATCGCCATTTTTTAAAAAAATTCTATTTAATCCAAACTGATATATTGTAGGAAACTTGTTACGACTGTCGCCTACGTATTCAATGCAACAGCAAGAAATTGATGATTATGCTGAGTCACCAATTGCAAATTAAACGTAAAAATGTACTTTACACTTGTTAAATAATTGGAATATTTCTCGTTACACCGGCTTCTTGCACACGACACAATAATGCGCAGTCGTTATAGAAAACAGTGGGGGAATGAATATAGTAACGGAAATAGGGAGTTTTTTCAATATTGCCAACAAATAAAACACTGAAAAAACTTCAGCTACTAGAAATTTTTATTTCTGACAGCATTGCTTTTTTGAAATTTAAATTGAAAATTGTGCTCCAAATTAAATTTTTTATATTAGTGCATATGTTAACATTCTATGTTTTTTATTTTTTTTTTACATTTACATTTACATTTACATTTACATTTACATTTACATTTTTACATTTACATTTACTTTACATTTTCATGATCGTAGAAAGATCTTTTTTTTTCTTGCATCATTTGGGTCCTAAAAACATATACATGATGGTCAAAAAAATAAAATTTTAATTTTTGATCATTTTAGAAATTAATTTCTTAAAAAATTAATATTTTAAATATCTATCTTCTTTCTCAATTTTGACTATTTTTCATCGCCAATTTTTTTCCACCACAAATATAAGTTAAAACATCATTGCACTCTTCTATTAAAATGTATCTTCTTTCACAATTTTAAGTATTTTTTATCGTCAAATTTTTTCCACACTTTTTAAATAATTCTTTAGAATCTCTCTCATGGATTTTCAAAAATATTAATTTTTTTAAAAAATAAAAATTCTAAAATGGTCAAAAAATAAAATTTTCTTTTTTTGACTACCTCATATGTTTTTAGGACCCAAATGATACAAGAAAAAAAATATAACCTCGTTTAATAATTTAAATTTAAGTGGGTCAAAATAAAGGTTGTGACTCCCCTTAACTTTGTTTTACAATTTATAAAATAAATGCAGGTTTTCTCTGCATTTATTATAATATAGTTTTGTTTAAAAAAAATAAGGAAAATGAGGATTTTATTAATAAATGATATTTATTAATTTATAGCAACTTTTAATATAATATAAACATAGTATATAATTTTATAAATAATGAAGTTGTGATTATTGATAAATTGTTAACTATTTTAGAGATAATAATTGTTAATTGGCTTTATATAATTGTTAGTAAAGCTATCCTTGAAATTAAAAATTATATTTTTTTTTACAATAAAAAAAATTGAAAAGAAGAGTAAAACCTTAAAGAGTAAAATAATAAACAATTTCATTAAAAAAAAATATTAACTACTAATTTGTTAGCTTTCACAAAAATACAAAATAAAAAAAAGTGTGCGATGGCCGGGAATCGAACCCGGATCAACTGCTTGGAAGGCAACTATGCTGACCATTACACCACCATCGCACATATGTTTTTCTCTGAAATATATGTCGAAGAATAAAATCCTCAGCCTTATTTAATTAAAATTCATTATAATAATTTATTTCAGTCCAATTAATTTTCTTGGTAATTTTAAATGAATTTAGTTTGTATTTATTTTCATTACATAACAAATTTTCTTTAAAAAGTTTGATTTTTACAACTATTTAGATAATAGCTTAGATAATTTTTAAATAGGTAAAAATATTTTGTTTTATTTATAATTCACCAAAAAAAACGATATTCTATATTAAAGAATTAAAATATTAACGTTGAAGTTAAAAAAAATAGTTTAAACAAATTAAAAACGAACGATTCTAAAAGTCAATTAACACATGTTTCCTATTATAAGGATATAAAAAATTTTAATTTTTTAATATAGTACTTTTATTATTTTAAATTTCTTATTAAAAAATAATGTCTGTCATATGTAATGATATGAAAATTGTTTCTCAATATATGTTGAAAAATTAATTAGATATGTAGTCGATAAAAAAACTTTGTACATTGTGCACATAGTAATTTTTTGCAATATTAAAGAACAAATAATATAAAGAAACGAAAGATAAAAATTTAAATTATCTGTCTTAAAAAGAAATAATATATGTCACGATATATATAATATGTTACAGTCGAAACTAAAATTAAGGTTATTAACAGAAAAAAAAAATTCTTTCACCAGTCTTCAATGTTAATTCATGCATATCTCGCAATTATTATATCGATGTTCTTTTGAGAATTGATCAATTTTAAATTTGATCCTTTTATATATTTTTTTTCTATTCTCGCTACAATCATTAGAATAGTTGATGGAAGTCTAGAATCTACCTAAAATTGGTTATAACACATAATAAAATTGTTGTTTCGGCAAGATGAGTTTTTGGCATCATTTTAATGTGTATGATATTTTGCCCTGAGGCTCAGAATTATTTGTGAGGCATTAAAACGCCAATATTTTGAAATCGAGCGGTTTTTTCGGTCGCAATTACCTACCATCGAACGCTCTTGTCCGTCCGTCCGTCTTTTTTTGTGCCGCGCATGGCAGAAAGAGCCTCTATCAGTCAAATTACACCCTGACAAGCTGACACGTAAATTGCCCCACGACTTTCCTATATACAACGAACCGGAATAGCTTCAACAAAGGACCTATAACAGAATTAAGTGTATCAATCGTTTTACGTCCTTCGATAATTCACAGAATCTTGTATACATGTCCCAACATCAGAACCAAAAGACTTTCTTTGTGTATTTACACTTAGACCAGTGTACCTATATATATGTATATATAATGTAAGATTTCCAAAAAAAAATATTGTCTTAGGTTCTTTTTTTAGACTGGTTTTATTTATTTATTTTTTTTTTAATAATGATATCCGGTTTTTTTTAAACAAAAAATTATATTATATTACGTGGTCACACTGCGGTCCAAGGTTATTTCTATATAAATTTCTAAAAAAAAATTCTTTCTCATTTTGCCTTTTTGATTTTATAATGATTGTTTATATATGTCCTATAAGAAGAAAAAATGCTTTTTTCACGCTACAAACAAAAAATTTTATTTTATGCAAAGAAATTAGTTTTATTTTAAAATTTTGTTTATAAATTAAAACTATTAGTCTTATACTTCACAGTAAAAACAAAGTCTTAAACCGTTTACACCTTAAATTAAGCCCATATATTTTGCATAAGTCTGTCCTTTTTTAATTGGTCTGACTCCGTTTACACCTTAAATTCAGCCTCAAAAATAGGCTGAAATCAAGATTTGTTTTTTAGTGTGTTTCAAGACTAATTTAATTTTAAACATATATCTTATTATTTATTTGCTAATTTTTTAAATCTGAATTAGAAAATAGTCGTGTTTACTTATAATGAAAATTTATGAAAATTAATATTTGGAACAATATTAAGATGGAATAATTCTGCTTACGATTAAAGGATTCCCTCTTTTATTTGTAAGCTGAAATATAGATTGCGTTTTGTGGGTAAACTTCTAAAATTTGTATTTCAAGGCAAATTACACTTGATGTTTATGAAGCGGTCTATTCTCTTTATGAACTTTTTAAAACACTTGTTAACACAGAGTGAAGAAGAGGTGATGATAAAACTGACAATCCGCAAAATGATTAACAGTTTAATTTCCCGATGTAAATTATCATGTGGCCAGATGAATGACGGACAGCTCCTCACGGAAGCTTGCCAAAATTCCAACTGTTATATATATATATATATGTATATACCCAACTCAAGAATGGAACACGAAAAAGGCGATTAGTACGATTCTGGTATCCGTACCAAGAAGATCGTGATACATATATATTATTCGTGAACTATTTTCCCTCTCAGTTAAAAGAAAATTTATTATTTTAAGATATATGTCAGAGAGGTTAAATTGGGCTTAAAAGTTGGTCTTAGTTCGAATTAATTATTTTTTTGACTTCTTCACATAATTTCAATCTCGCGATTTTCATTCAATTTATCAAGTATATATTGTATAAAAAAATCTAGAGAATATTTACGTGCGATAAATCACGTGACTTAACAGACACATTAAAGAACAAGATTTTCATTTTGTCGTTCTCCTGGTGTACATTTTACTACTCTTATAGACACTGAAAAAAATTTGCTTCGCATTAATGACTATATTAACCATAGCAACTTTAAATCTAGTCAGCGTAACCACTCTCTTAATTTGAATCAGTGAAATTTCACTGATGAAATAGCTACAAGTCGGTTACTGAATCATTTAGTGAAATTTTCACTGGAAATCAGTGATATATGACTGATTTTCAGTGAAAATTTCACTAAATGATTGAGTAACCGACTTCTAGCTATTTCACCAGTGAAATTTCACTGATTCAAATTAAGAGAGCAAGCATCCTATAGTCAATTCAGTTATATGTTATAGCTTGGTTAATATTGTCAAAGTCGATTTAGTAGAATTGACTCCTTGTTTACTAGTTATATTAACTAAGATGTTTGGTTAATATGACATGTATCTATATAGTCAATTTTGCTAAAGTTATTATTTAGTCAAAGTGATTCTAGCCAATGTAACAAAGATATACCTGCACTGAAAAAAAAAATTTATTTGATTCAAATACCGGTGTATTTGGTTATTATCAAATAAATATTTACTTGAATCAAATATTTCTTATTTGAATCAAATATATAATATTTGAATTAAATATTTCAGAATTTGAAGCAAATACCATATTTTTGATTCAAATAAGAAATATTTGATTCAAGTAAATATTTATTTGATAATAACCAAATACACCGGTATTTGAATCAAATAAATTTTTTTTCAGTGTGGTAATTCTAGTCATTCCGACAAATTGTCGAAATCAACATTCCTCTCGTAACTAGGCAAATTAGTCAATTCCTGGCATACGGGGGTTAGGAATTTTTTTCAGTGTAGAAATTATTTTCATTCCAAAAAATTTCAAGTAAAACCACGTTTATCTTATTGCTTTTGGCAAAGTGTAATATATAGTTCGTATTCGTTTTGGTTTTCGATATTATTATAATATGACGTTTTTTTATACATATATATAGGGATAGTTCAAGTCCATGAAATTTCCCGTGGCAATAATCCCATTCATATAATGACTACCTTTGTGTATATTATAGATAATAGGGAAAATATAGCTACATATGTGTTCTTCTCTCTTAGAAGCATATCTCATAAATATACATATTTCCTTGGAAGCATGTATATATATATATATATATTTGTAA